CTTTCCTATAGATTTATGTTGGTGCTTTTATCAAAAATCAGTTTCTAGGGGCGCCTGGATGGCGCAGTCGGTTAAGCGTCCAACTTCAGCCAGGTCACGATCTCGCGGTCCGTGAGTTCGAGCCCCGCGTCAGGCTCTGGGCTGATGGCTCAGAGCCTGGAGCCTGTTTCCGATTCTGTGTCTCCCTCTCTCTCTGCCCCTCCCCCGTTCATGCTCTGTCTCTCTCTGTCCCCCAAAAAATAAATAAACGTTAAAAAAAATTTTTTTTGAAGAAAATCAATTTCTATATGTTTAAGTCTATTTCTGGACTCCTTTTTTTCTGATCCTTTGATCTATATGTCCATCTTTATGCCATTACAACACTGTTTCCATTATTACAGCTTTATATGAAGTCTTAAAGTCAGGTTATATAAGTTCTCCAACTTACGCCTGCTGGCTAGTTTTCATATGGCCGGCACCTCTGTGTGTCCTCAGCCCACAGAGTTCCTTCTGGCTTGTAAGATGCTCACCCTCTTCTTGCCCCAGGAGTTCTCATGGGATAGTCCAAGAGTGACTGAGGCCTCACCTTACTGTGAGATAAAATGGAAAAGCCAGAGTTTCAAGGAAGAGATGTAAAAATATGGCCAAAAGGACATTGCTCCTATTCAAATTCGTATACAAACCTCTCCTTTCCAGACAAACATTTTCAAGTACCTACTTGGCGCTGGGTGCTATGCCAGGCACGTGAGCTGTGTCAGTGGGAAAAACTCACAAAACATCTCTCCGTTTCTGGAGCTCGTATCCTAGTGGTGGGAGACAGAATACAAACAGGGAACACAATTCATAGGTAGAAAATTAAACGTTGACGGGTGCCCTAGTAAAAAGGCCAGAGCTGGGTGAGAAAATAGGGAATACGTGTGGGGGGGGGGCGGGGGGTGTGAATATCGCAATTTAAAATTGATTGATCAGATACTCAAATGAATGCTTTGACACCAATGTCCAGAACTGCACCATTCACGATAGTCAAAGGCAGAAGCAACCCAAATGTCCATGAATGCATAGCTGGATAAACAAATTGTGGGATATTCACACAATGGATCATCACTCAACCACTAAAAGGAACGTAGTACCGACACGTGCTTCAACGTAGATGAACCTTGAATACACTATGCTACATGACAGAAGCCAGACATCAAAGGTACTTACTTGATGATTCCATTTATATGGAATATTCAGAAGGGGAACATCCAGAGAGGCAGAAAACAAACTGGTGGTTGTTAGGAGCCGGAGAAGGAGTAATTACTAATGGGAGTGAGAGTTTGTCTGGAGTGATGAAAATATTTGGGAACTAGACAGAGGTGGTGGTTCACAGCATCACGAATACACTAAATGCTACTGAATTGTCATTTTAGACCGATTAATTTTATGTAATGTGAATTTAAGCTCAATTAAAAAAAAAAAGCTATTCAGAAGCAAAGAAAAAGAGAACATTGAGTAGTCAGGGTAAGGCTTTTCGAGAAGTTACCACAGGAGCACTGACTTGGAGGAGATGAGCAAGTTAGCCTGGTGGGAAACTGGAGGACACAGGGTTGGAAAGGAGGAACTGGGGAGGTGATAGGTGGCCCCAGGTTGTGTGGGCCCTCAGAGCTGCTGCGAGGGCATCGGCTCTTCCTTTGGGTGAGGAAGGACTAGATGATCTGCCTTGGGTTTTAACAGAATCTCTGGACCCCTATATTAGGAACAGTCTGAAGAGGGGCACCAGTGGGAGTAGGGGGAACTGACAGAAGCCATCATTAAAGCCCAGGCACGAGGTGGTGGTGGCTACGGAGAGGGAGGTGGCTAGGGAGATGGGGGGAGGTGCTGGCAGGTAGGATGTGTTTGAAAGTGAGACCCAGAGGGTGTCCTGGTGGATTGCAGGCCAAATGTGTGAGGAAAAGAAGAGTTAATTACACAGGGTGAGTTCTGGCTTGAGCAACTGGAGAGACAGAGTTGCCATCACTGAGGTGAAGAAGACTGAAGGAGAAAGTGCTTTTCTTAGGGGCGAGGCAGGGAAGGAGCACTGAGAGCTCCTAGAGTTTGAAGTGTGGCGAAGAAGAATCTGCCCAAGGTGCCACGGTGGACGGTGTGCCCCCCAGAACCTTCTCCCAAGACCCAGGCCAGGCTACCCACCACCACACAGGGTCTGCCTCTGTCGGTTGTAGGCCCTACGAACACCCCATTGGGAGAATGGGAGGAACGTGGCATCCTAAATCTCTCGAATAAAATGGGGGGAAGATTTCCTCTTTGCTTATTCCTGTGAGAATTACTGAGAACCTGACCCACTTGGATTCACATGCGTGTAACATGACAAAATGTCCTGGCTTTTGACATGGTTTACAGTAAGACCATGGCCATTTCTGGAGTGTGAGACATACATCTTGATCTAATTATGACACCGGACAAGACAAATGGAGAAGTCTTGCAAGGTATCTCCTAAGCTAGGCAGTATTTGAGTGCCACGGTCCAAATGCAAGTTGCTAGCTGTTACTCTGGAAATAAAGGTTTTTTTGGGCTTTGTTCATTTCTTATCAGAAATGTCAGAGAATTAGATTAGAAATAGGGACACGTGAGATTTCAAAACTATAACCCCAAATCAGATGAAAATTATGGCTAAACTAAAAAATCAGAAAGCAGTCATGGCCAAATTGGGTTAGATTAATTTTTCAAAATGGAGAGTAGTTCTGAGAAATCTTAAGAGGAAGAGGGTATCCACTACAGAAACAAGCAGACATTGAAAGATTTCTCCTTAACTTGGGGCGCCTGGGTGGCTCAGTCGGTTGAGCATCCGACTTCGGCTCACATCATGATCTCACAGTTTATGAGTTTGAGCCCGGCATCGGGCTCTGTGCTGACAGCGTGGAGCCTGGGGCCCGCTTCGAGTTCTGTGTCTCCCTTTCTCTCTGCCCCTCCCCTGTCATGCTCTCTCTCTCTCTCTCTCTCTCAAAAACAAATAATCACTAAAAAATAATAATAAAAAGAAAAGTTTCTTCTTAACTTGACAGAAACTTATGGGTGCCCCAAATTCTGGTTTTTAGAAGTCTTTGCCTTTCACATTTTGTCTTACTAAGTTGCTATAAAATACTATACTTTTATGTTGGATGGGGTCTTGGTGGTCAGAAGCCAAAGTGGCTTAGTGATTTATAAAGAAGAAACTTTCAGGAAATCAGACTAGGTTATTTTTGTTTAATAACCCAGTCATAATTATAAGAAAGAAAGCTTTGGTGCTGTCTTCTTTCTCTTTTTTAGTTGACACTGAATAAAAAAAGAAAAAAAAAAAAACCTTGGCTTTGAGGTTCAACAAATTTGGTTTTAACCCTAGCCACAAGTGGATGAACTTGGTCTAATGATTTAACCAGTCTCAGCCATGGGTTTTATTTTAATCTGTAAAATTGGAAGGGCGTTGATGATAAGTGGCACGCTGTACTGTACTTTAGATGAGAGGACTTTATTTTTTATAATTTCTAAAAAAAAATTTTAATGTTTATTTATTTTTGAGAGACAGCGAGACAGAGTGTGAGCAGAGGAGGGACAGAGAGAGACAGAAGGAGACACAGAATGTGAAGCAGGCTCCAGGCTCTGAGCTGTCAGCACCGAGCCAGATGCGGGGCTTGAACTCATGAGCTATGAGATCATGACCTGAACCGAAGGTGGACACTTAACCTACTGAGCCACCCCGGTGCCCCAGGACTTTACTGTTGAATGGATTAGTTGATTATCTTACAATAGTCGTTAGATTTTTACTAAATGCTTCTGTAAGTTTTCATGACTGTATTAAAATTCTAATTGAAACCTTTTTTTTTTTTTAGGTTTATTTATTTATTTTGAGAAAGAGACAGTGGGAGGGGCAGATAGAGAGGGAGAGAGAGAATCCCAGGCAGGCTCCATGCTGCCAACGCAGCCCTGAGGTGGGGCTCAAACTCACAAACTGCAAGATCATGACCTGAGCTGAAACCAAGAGTTGGATGCTTAACTGACTGAGCCACCAGGAACCCCTAAACCTTATTTTGAACTAACAAATCTTTTTAAAATTTTTTTAATGTTTATTTATTTTTGAGAGACAGAGAGAAAGAGAGTGAGAGAATACAAGCAGGGGAGGGACAGAGAGAGAGAGAGAGGGAGACGCAGAATCTAAAACAGGTTCCAGGCTCTGAGCTGTCAGCGCAAAGCCCGATGTGGAGCTCAAACTCACCAACCATGAGGTCATGACCTGAGCTGAAGTTGGACGCTCAACTGACTGAGCCACCCAGGTGCCCCTGAACTAAGAAATCTTATTTGAAACTAGGAAACCAATGCAAATGTGGTCTGGTCTCATGAAAAATGCCTACAGTTAATAAAACTTTTTGAATCATATATTAGTATGCAAAATAAAAGCTCATATTCATGTATGAGAACTTTCAAGTTCATGCTATTTTATGTAACAAAATGCTATCTGGAGTTTAACCACACCCTGGGCACTGTTCCAAGCCCACTTGCTCCTGATTCTGTGGTGTCAGTATGAAACTCATACGATCTTGATAATAAGAGTCTGGACAACTAAAAGGAGGGTAGAGATAAGCAGACCCAATTCCCCGAATTTACGTGAAACATCTCAGGGTAAATCTTCTAGCCGTGACAGGACTTTGCATTTCTTCCTCTCGGAGCACGTGGCCAATGTCCAAACTATGACTGTATCCCCAAGCACGTAGGCAAGCCTGTGCAAGAGCTTTGCCAGCCACAGTGTGGGGTAAAGAAAACCTACTAGAACTCTTTTTTTTTTTTTTTTTAATTTTTTTTTCAACGTTTATTTATTTTTTGGGACAGAGAGAGACAGAGCATGAACGGGGGAGGGGCAGAGAGAGAGGGAGACACAGAATCGGAAACAGGCTCCAGGCTCTGAGCCATCAATCCAGAGCCTGATGCAGGGCTAGAACTCCCGGACCGCGAGATCGTGACCTGGCTGAAGTCGGACGCTTAACCGATTGCGCCACCCAGGCGCCCTAGAACTCTTCATTAGCAACACCTCCTCACCTTGCTCACCCACTGGCAGTGTGACCTAGTGGTTAGGTGTCTTTAAGGCCCACCTGCTTGGGTTCTGTGTCTTAGCAGCATGTGACTTGGCCAAGTTGCTTAACTCTTCTGTGCCTCGGTGTCCTTCTCTGTAAATCAGGAATAGTAATAATAATAGCACCTGCCTTCTCGGGTGTTGTGACAGTGAAGGAGTTAACAAATGTTAAGTCACTTAGAACTGTATCTTGGCATAGAGCGAGTTCGAGAGAGAGCTCAACTATTGTTATGTTAAGACACCGGTCTGCAGTTAATCCCTGAATGCTTCTGGGATGTGGTCGGTTTTAAAAGTGAGTTGAATTTACTCATAATAGAGCATTTCAGCTGCGTGTAGCTGAAATCTAATTTTGCAATTAACATTTGTTTTACATGGAGCCCAAGGGTTGAAGGTTATGGTCTTCTTTATCAGGCCCCTTGAGGAGCCTTCTTACTCATAATTTATCTCTATGTCCCTGAACTCCTTAGAAAAACTTCCCTTTTCCATCCAAACTGAGATCCTTACAGGGACTTACATGTGAGGAGCCCAGAAGCTGGAATCTGTTTTTGGATGAGTCTGGACCATAAGCAGAGCATTTACAAACCTCCATAAAGTCTGGCTTACTTCTCATTGCTTCCCCTCATTTGCTTTTGGAACTCTCTGCACCAAAGCTCTCCAAACTGGATGAGCATGCTTAGCTAATGTCTGCCAAATGAAGTGTCAAGGGGTATTGGGAAAGGCAGACTTAAGGCCCCAAGATTTCAAGATCATTTAGAATCAGCTGAGTAGTCCCAGGGCAACAGAAGCACGTGGGTGACTCGGTCCGTTAAGCCTCTGACTCTTGATTTCTGCTCATGTCCTGATCCCAAGGTTCATGATCTGGAGCCCCAGATCCGGCTTTGCGCTGACATCATGGGGTCTGCTTGGGATTCTCTGTCTCTGTCTCTGTCTCTGTCTCTGTCTCTCTCTCTGCCCCTTCCCTGCTCAAGCGCACGTGGTCTCTCTCTCTCTCAAAATAAATAAATTGGTTAAAAATATTATTAGGGCAATAAAAGACAAGCATTACTTAGCTTGAGAAACTGATGCCAAACCAAGGGGAGATGATAGGATTACTTCCTCTAAAGGGATTACTCAATGTTGTCATTATGTTTAAATATTTATGTAACAAGGACAAAAATTCTTGGTACATGATGCACCAGTATTTTTGAACAAGTCATGGATTTTGGCTAAAAAAATCGCATTTCATCGTGGGTGGAGTGAGGAATGGTAGGATGTCTTTGGCTGCCTTCCCTTCAAAATAAAAGAGAGAGTTCATGCACCTGAGGACTCTTCAAGGAAGGAGGCAGAAGAGGTGGAAGCTGTTCTTAGCTCAGTCATTGACTTGGAGTTCCTTCCCTTCTGTCCTTCACTTTGGGTAAGCATCAATTACTTATCTAAAGTTTACAATAACAACTTTTCTATACGCATAATAAGAAAAGATTGATGTTTACAGGAAATGTGCTTCCTTGAAGTATTATATTAAGGGCTGTTGTGTCAGTTGATCTGTCGATCAGTTTTTCTATTAGTTCAATTCCCTTCCCTGACTTTTTAAGAAAAAAACCACCTAGTTAAATGATTCCCTTGCTGGAAAGAAAAAAGAAGAGTATGTAATTATTTTGCACAGACCTTTGACTGTTCTTGAAATAACTTTGGTGAAGCTTGGGGACAAACTGCGGCGGGGGTGCATTTTTGAGGGTTTGGTGTAGACCTTAGGACAATTACTTGATTAATGTTTTCCCTGTCACTCTCCTATAATTTTAACTGCTTTGTGATGACTCTTTGCATGTGTGCCTACAAGTGGGTCATGCCTGTGTGCAGGCAGGCCCCAGCCTGGGTGGAAATGTGTGGTTTTGTGCTACCACTTATAATATTGTATTTTCTAGGGTCTGTGGAATTTTATAGTTTTTATTTGTTTCAAAAATGGAAACTAGTTTTCTTTCTTCCTAATTCAGCTTCTTCCAGTACATTCTCATGATACTATGAAACAGCGTGACCCGTGTAAGGCCCACATGACCCTAAGGTTCAGTAGGAATAAGTGCAGTGTTTCATGCCTGAAACCCTGCTGTGATACATATTTATATCTAATAAATAACTGTTGATTGATTAACTCTCCTGGGGGGGGTATTGAAATAGCAAAAATCTTGGCAATAAATACTTTGCTTGTGATTTTGTATGGTTTATGTTTCAGTTGAGACAGTGAAACCGCTTTCCAGCTATAAATTTCAGGGGCCACCGTCTACCTCCTAGGAGAGACCTTTACCATCACATGTCACGGATTCGCCTTGAATAATCTCAACAGTTAGTTACCAACACTTGCTCTGGATTGAAGAACTGACAATGCGACTTTGGGCCTTGGCACTTTCAACAATTCTGGTACATTCCACAGCAGCTAAGTTTAGTAAGTATTGCTCTTCAGTGAAAATTGTTAAAATTTTAAATTAAGTAATCCCCAAAACATTTGCCTTGTTTCACACCGCTTGTTCCTGGTTGCTCCAGTTGAAGCGGAACCTGGAAAACTCGTTTATGCTCCTCGACCATTCTTTATTGCAAATCTAACGGGACAAATTCTTCAGAATACAGCATGCTTTTAGTTTTACGTATTTAAATACATCGAACTTTAACATGCTGCCTGCACGCGGCAGGTGCTGCAAGCATTTGCTGTCCCGCCGTAGGCTTTGTAGACGTAGATGTGGCTGCTTCTCCCCTGGGGCCAGTGTGAGGGGGTTGAGCTCCAAGTTGATTCATTCGTCTGTGCTACCCATTAAAACCTTTCATAAAACATCTTAATCATTTACTTGTTCTTTCTCAGTGAAAGTGTCACAAAGAATAGCCCACTTCTAAATTTCATCCTAGAAGGATAGAATATAGGAATTATAATGTTTTTAGATGATGATCACTTCAGGATCATATTGATGGTTTCTGTTTTGTTTTGGGCAGGCAAATCATCCTGGGGCCTGGAAAATGAGGCTTTAATTGTGAGATGTCCTAGGCAAGGACGATCTCGATACCCTGTGGATTGGTATTACTCAAAAACCAACAAATGTATCACTACCCAGAAAAGAAATCATGTACTTGCCTCAGGGGAACGTCTTAAGTTTCTCCCGGCCAAAGTCAACGATTCTGGAATTTATACTTGCATTATCAGAAGGTACCAGGCAGCCACCCATACTCTTTGGGCTTGCTCCCTTTTCTTTGATAGTTGATGGTCTGAGCTGTCCTCACTGTCCTTCCCTTTCTAGGCCTTTCTGGAATAGTTGAATTTATAAAGCAATTTGAATAGAAGAGTCCTTCTAGGAACACCATTGGGTTGGGGTTTGGGTGATTATGAACTATGTAGAGGCAGAATTGCAAGAATGAATTTGTAGCCCAATTAGGAAAAGACCTAGCTTGCCTAGTGACCAAGAGAACTGAGAGCAATCATTCACTTTGGTTGGAACAAACCATAAAAAAGACCCAGTAATCTAGATGTTGAGCGTCAAAGAGGCCTATGGCGGGTGCCATAAGGCAGTTACTAGTCCCTTAAGCCTGAAAGGTAAGCTGAAAAGGGTTGTGTAAGATTGTGTGCCTGCAAATTACTTATCCCTACATACATATTGTTAAATGTTTTGATCTTGGACCTGTGTTTGGTACATACAATATGTCAGATGAACTACATCGGAATGCAGGGTGTGTATGGTTGGCCACCTAGGTTCTGAGGTCAGACCAGTTTTCGTTTCAAATTCGTGTTCTGTCACTAGTTAGCTGTGTGATGCCAACAACTACTTCTCTGTCCGTCCCTCTGTTTCCTGATCTGTAGAATACACATGATAATATAGCACACTTCAAAGCATCTTTTGAGAATAAATTGATACAGTGTTACCACCATGAATGCTGCATAGTAAACTCTCAATAAACACTAACTATCTTTATAATATCCTGTTCTTGGCATGGCACCTGATAGAGTGTATAAAGAAATAGTGAGGGAAATATTCAGGGCTACCACAGAGGTTATGTTGGCTCTCAAATGCAACGCAAAAAGTATTTAAAATTCTAGATTTCAATACATACTTTTAAATAAGGAAAGAACCACTGTACCTCAATTGCTTGAAGAACGAAAGTAGCATTCAGCAAAAGTTAGAATGGGATGAGGTTATTTCATAATGCTGAGTAACTTTTTAAAATCGTTTGACTTATTTTGGTAGCCCTACCTTCAATAAGACTGGCTATGTGAACGTCACCATATATAAAAAACAGCCAAATTGCAATATTCCAGATCATCTGATGTATTCAACAACACTTGGATCAGAAACAAATTCCAAAATATATTGTCCTACGATTGACTTGTACAATTGGACGGCACCTATTGAGTGGTTTAAGGTAAAAGGAAACTTGGGGGAAATAGATAAAATTACACAGGATAGCTGCAAGTGAAGAGTTACTGAAAATGGAAGGGAGGTTTTTGTTTTATTTTGTTTTGTTTTTTTTAATTTCAGGATTGTAAAGCTCTTCAAGGACCAAGGTATCACACACACAAGACATTTTTGCTGATTGACGGTGCAACTAGCAAGGACACGGGTGATTATACATGTAAATTTATACACAATGAAAATGGAGTGAATTACAGCGTGACAGCGACCAGATCACTCACAGTGAACAGTAAGCTACTGAATTTAACAAAATTGATTATTTAAAAAAATAATGTGGAGAAACTGTGCCCTTCTTGTTGATTTTCCTGTACTAAAGACCCCCTTATCTGCAGGGGTAATTCCAAAGCCCCCAGTGGATGCCTGAAACTAGGGATGGTACTGAAGAACCTCGTATATACTATGTTTTTTCTCACACATACATACATACATACCTGTGATATGGTTTAATTTGTGAATCAGATGTGACAAGAGATTAGCAACAATAAGTGGTCATAAAATAGGACCATTACAACGATATACTGTAATAAAAGTTACCACAAATCTTGGCAAACTCAGCATATGATTTTTTTGTCTTTCCTTGTGAAGTTGAGAATTTTCACCTTTTCACTTAAAGGAAGTGCTTAATGCTTCTCTTTGACTTTTCTGAATTGCCACCATCATCGCTCTTGTGCTTCGGGGGTATTATTAAGTACTATAAAGCACACTTGAACACAAGCAGTGTCATACCATGACAGCCAATCTCATAACCATGATAGCTACTAAGTGACTAATGGGCATGTGGCAGATATCATGTGGATCTGCTGGAAAAGGGACAATTCACTTCCTGGGTGGGACAGAGTGGGGCATTGTGAGATTTTCTCGTGAGCAAGCTAAAATTTATGCGTTGTTTATTTCTGGAATTTTCAATTTAAACCTTTTGGACAGAGGTGGACCATGGGTAACTGAAACCCTGAAAAGTGAACCCGGGGATACGGGGGAGCTACTATGCTTCATGGTCCCTAAGATGCCCTCCAGCTTCATGTTATCTTGCACATTCTCTACAATAGCACAAAGAGCTTTTCTAAACGCACGATCAAGATTTAAGAAATTTTAGGGGGAGATTATGTTACTAATCTAAAGCCAGACTGGTTCTCTCCTCTATGACTTCACTTTTCGAAAACAGCATGATCTGCATGCCAACTTAATAAACATTTTTGGTATGATAATACAAGTATTTGGAGAGCAAGATTAACTCTTCTTCTCCCAGTTTGTTGTCAGAGGCTCTGTAAATAGAAAAAAAATCTGTTTAATCTCTAATATAACTAACTAGATTAGAAGTTTAGAAGTGCTACAAAGGACTATAGAGATACTGCTGGGTGGTTTTTAATTGTCAACCTAAAATTGTTAGGAGGCAGTGAATAAACAAGAGTGTTTATCCGGGATCAAAGAATTGTAAATTTGAGGTACTCAGATTTGGGTAGAACCCACGTCCCACTAGGGAACAAAAGTCAGGGTTTTAAAAAAAAATAATGTTTATTTATTTTTGAAAGAGACAGAGGCAGGATGCGAGCTGGGGAGGGGCAGAGAGAGAGGGAGACACAGAATCCGAAGCAGGCTCCAGGTTCTGAGCTGTCAGCACAGAGCCTGATATGGGGCTCGGACTCACGAACCGTGAGATGATGACCTTGAGCTTACCCCACTGAGCCACTCAGGTGCCCCATAAAGTCAGGGGTTTTTAAAGCAAAGAGGGAATGCCTGTTATACATTGTTTACAAAGAATTTTGATGCATGTTGGCAGCAGAAGGCTGATCTGCACTGAATATCATTGGTTCCTAAGGCTATCACACAAGCAAAGTCTTTTACTGTACCAACTTGCAGATGTTTGGGCTTCATCTTGGAATATTTGTGGTTTCGTCAGGTTACACGTTCATGATTCCACCAGTGAGGACATGGGCCCGTCTCCTTAATGGCCTCCTGGCTCCATTTCAAAACCCCTTGACATAAGTGATGCCATTCCATTTCACATAATCCTGGTTTGCAATTTGTCCAACATTATCAATGACCTCAAGCAGCTAATTTGATCCTAAAAGCTGGTTTTCAAATGTTTAAGTCTATAAAAGTCTATTCAGAGGAAATCCCTCACAGTCAAGCATATATATAAGGAGTCACGGTCTCTTTAGCATCACTTGATCTACAGATATAGGATGAAGTAGCACCAGTCAGTGTGGAAGCTTTCTCAGTGGAAAGCAATTGTGAAGACAAGGTTTGGAGGTTTTTGATGCTCTATCATATAAAATGAGCACCATCAGACCACATTGTTATTAGTGTCTCTCACTATTAAACACCAGATCATGGGGGTCCTTAATCACACAATCCTGAAATAAATGAGAATCAAGGAACGTCAGAAAGTAGCAGTATTTCAGAAGACTCCCCTTCCCCGACTCGAGGCATCAGTGCCACAGAAGTTAGAATTTCCTTACAGAATGGACCACAGTGGTGGAAATCTCTGAGCAGAAGTGTGGACTTACATGTTTGTCTTTTTCATAGGCCTTTTTTTTCATTCAACAAGCATTTATTCAGTACCTTATATATGCTAGCATTTCATGCAACTTTTGAAAGCCTCTTTCCTGTAATGTTGTGCTTCTTCTGTAGAATTGTAGTTTTCTAGCAATTGCCAACCCATGTAATTAATTTAACGTGTTAGATTAATTAATTAATATTTGTTTTAATGATATAAAAGAGAATAGGAAATATAAAAGAGTATCATAAGTCATAAGAGAAAGTATTACTTGAATGTTTTCTTTTTCATTTGTGTGTGTGTCTGTGTGTGTGTGTGTGTGTGTGTGTGTGTATTTGTTGCACAATGCAACATTTGTTGTGTGTGTATTTGTTGCACGATGGGTCATCGTCAGAAAAATTTGAAAAACATTGCTATGATATAAGATAGTAATATGAAAACACAAGCTTTATACTGATGACCATCCAATGTTATCCTAATATTTATATTTTCTTTGTCTTTGATTTAAGATGAGGAAGGCTTTTCTTTGTTTCCAGTAATTATAGCCCCTCCACAAAATGAAATAAAAGAAGTGGAAATTGGTAAGAAAACTTGAAGACTGCTGTAAATGTTATCTGGAGAATCTTTCCATATGACGCTTGGTCTGGATTCTCCAAGTATGGGTCATGCAGTTAACACGATGGATCTTGGGGATTAAATGAAATGTTACATGTAGAAACATCCACCGGGCACTTGTTAATATTAGGAATACCCAGCACTTACATTTGTACTGCAGTTCAGACTATCTTATTTCATTCTTACTTCTCTCCGGGAGGTAGATATTGTTTCCAATTTATGCTTGTGGATACTTAGGCTCAGGTAGGATCAATGATGTGCCCAAGGTTATGGATAATGAGTGATAGAAGGATGAGAACCAAGGCTTTCTGACCCCGCCCATCTCTGCCTTCACTAGTTTCCCACTAGAAATTAGATATAACTCAAGTTCTTGGTCCATAAAACAAGTCCCTTCATGAACTAGTCTTCACCTACATTCTGGCCCATCTGAAGCTTATAACCCCACCTGCCTTGGAGTCCCCTCCACACCGACCACCTCACATTTGTTACACCGATTGGCAGCATTTCCACATTCTTTCCTGCTTTTGTCCATGTTGTTCCTCCTTCTCATCTCTCAACACTGAGTTCAAATAGCATTCCCCATGCCGCCCTCCTTACTACCATGGGCACCACCAGAGCCTCCATCTAATGAGGTCCAAAGAAATCATTTCTGTGTGCAGCATAGCAGTCCAGAGAAGTCTGGAATGCCTTCTTCTTCTGCATTTCCATGTCATTTGTCAACCTCTCTATAGAACAGTAGAATACCTTGTGTTTTAATCATCTGTGTCTACCCTTATCATCTTCTGAGACTCTCTTGCATCCCTCATCCCTCTTCAGATGCAGAATTCTTGAGTCCAGAACCAAGGGCTCAGTAAGGGATGCCTGAATGCATGTCCCAAGCAGGAGGGCAGCCCTCACGCTTTCAGTTCTGGGCAGAGGAAGTCTCAAGTACAAGGAGTAGTAATGGAGAGCACTCTTGAATGATTAAATGCTGGGATTGTAGCTGGGTCGAGCAAAATATAGTTTTACTGACAAGGTGACTTACAGAGAGATGAAGAGAATTTGGTAAAAGGAGGAAGGTTTGGAAGAAAGAAGTTAAAAAAAAATTCCAATCTATAGTAAAAAGAAGCCCCACCTTATAATGTCTGATTGGTGAAACCAGAATTATTCACCTTTTTAGTTTCCATGGAAGGTGAGAGGGGAGTGTGAGTGGAGCTTCCTCCAAACTGTGAGCAAAGTGGGTGGAGGCAAGGACACAGAAGGGCTAAGGATGAGGAAGGGGTATGGAATCAATTCCTGGCACACACCAGGCGTTCAATGATTTTTTTCACGTTAAATGCAATACCACTGGCAGCACTGAATGTTATTGGTGAGTTTCTTCACTTCTCATCTAGGAAAACCAGCAAGCATACCCTGCTCCGCTTGCTTTGGGAAAGGCTCTCAGATCATGGCCGGCATCCTGTGGAAGGTGAATGGAAGCAAAGTTCAGAACTTTGGACAACCAAGAATTCACGAGGACCGGGAGCAAAATCAAAGGTATTTTTATACTGAAGTTAAAACATCCCCTCCTCCTCCCACACAATTTGCAACTGCAAAGCAAGCATTAAAGGTAACAGGTTGCCTCCTTAGTTCCAGCAATGAGTTGACTTGTCTGAGCACCGTTTTAAAAATAGAGCGTGTGAGAGAAGAAGACTTATCTGTGGAGTATGATTGCCTGGCTCTGAATTTGCACGGTTGGACACGGCACACCCTAAGACTAAAGCGGAGAAGTCCAAGTAAGGAGTGTTTCTGAGATTTTGGCCACCCAAGTTAGCTGTATCAACTGTAAGCTGAAATCACTTTCTTGGAGAACAATGTGTTGGCATGTGGTTCCGTGGGGAGTCTCTCAAGATGAAGAGGTCCATCTCATACATTGTGTTTTTTCTCTTAAGAACACTGACCATTTGTAGTCTGGTTTCCCTAGTTGCCTCTCTTCTGTTTTACTTCCCCCTTCCTCCTCTCCCTCCTGCCCCCCTCCTCTTCCCCCTCCTCTAACCTCCCTCCTCCTCTTCCTCCAACCTCCCTCCTCCTCCTTTCTCCTCCCTCTCCTCCTCTCCCTCCTCCTCCTATCCTTACTTTCCTTCCTGCAGCCCCCTTCCTCTCCTTCTAACCCCCTCCCTCCCTTCCCTTCCTCCCCCTCTTCCTTTTCTCCCTCCTCCTTTTCCTCTCCTTCCTACTCCTCTCTGTTCTCTCCCTCCTCCCTCCCTCCCCTTCCCTCCTCCCCCTCCTCCTCCCCCACCCCTTACCTTCTCCTGTTGGTTCCTTTTTAACACCCAGCTGCTTCCTTGGCCATCCTCCCGATTTCATCAGCTCTCTCTGTCTCACTGTATACGAAAGACAACGCGCTAAGAGTAAACTGAACATGTAGTTTGTTGCATGACTTTTATGACGTTATAAACATGTTCTCTTCTATAATTTTTTTTGTCACAAAGAAATTGTTAGTGAAGCTGGCAAAGTGGATAAAAAGGTAAAGTACTTAATTACTGCCCACTCCAGTAAGAAGATCTTAGATGTTACTTTTTAATAAGACATCACGTGCCATCATTGTTAAATTTTATAAAATATTAAATTTGCTTATTTATTTATTTATTTATTTATACTTGCAAAACCTAAAGTGTTTACTCTTTGGTCCTTTCCAGAAAAAGTGTGGGACCTCTGTGTTCTGTCCCTTTAAAAGAAATTATTTGTGTGCTAATACTATACTGTATCACTTAGCGTAGCTTTATAATCAACCCTGATTTGGGGTAGAGTGAGTCTTCCAATTTTGTTTTCATCAAGATCGTCTTGGCTATTCTTAGGCCTTTGTACTGCCATATAAATTCTATTCAGACATATTTTGATTATAAACATGTTTTTATTATAGTTACATAGAGGGTTTTATTTTTTGTTTTATAATTACTTAATGTATAGTAGAAGTCTTCCCATGATATTAAATGTTTGTCTACAATACAATTTTTAATGGCTTCTTAGTATTCAATTATACAGATAGACTATCATTTATCTCACCACATACACTGCTTGGCTACGTCTTTCTTCTTCTGTCTTTTTAAAAATCCAATTTATTTATGTTTTTATTTTTTTGAAGTTTATTTTTGAGAGAGAGAGTGTGTGGGCACAGGTGCATGAGCAGGGGAGGAGCAGAGAGAGAGAGGGAGAGGGGGAGAGAATCCCAAGCAGACTCCAAACTGTCAGCAAGGAGCCCAACGTGGGGCTCGATCTCACAAATTGTGAGGTCATGACCTGACCTGAGCTGAAATCAAGACTCAGATGCTTAACCAACTGAGCTACCCGGGCACCCCCAAAATTTAATTTATTTAAACTAAAAAAAAAAAAAAAGAAGAAGAAGAAGAGGAAAGAAACCAAAACACATTTCTCGCACTTCTTCCCCCTCCACCTCTAGTAACCACCAGTCTAAATATAGGTGAGATTCAAGGGTGCCTGGGTGGCACAGTCGGTTAAGCGTCCGACTTCAGCCAGGTCACGATCTCGCGGTCCGTGAGTTCGAGCCCCGCGTCGGGCTCTGGGCTGATGGCCCAGAGCCTGGAGCCTGTTTCCGATTCTGTATCTCCCTCTCCCTCTGCCCCTCCCCCATTCATGCTCTGTCTCTCTCTGTCCCCAAAAAAATAAATAAACGTTGAAAAAAAATTTTTTTAAATATAGGTGAGACTCAATGGAAGTCTGGTAGCTCGGCTCATTTCTTTATTGTATCTGTCATTCAACATGAAATTCAGGTGCTGCCTTTTATGGGGAGCCTTCCGTGACCGCCAGTTTGGAGTATATGTTCCTTCCAGGTATTTCTGTAGGACCCTATTTCTGTCTCCACACTCATCACACTTATAAAAATTTGTTTGAGAGTCTGCTGAACATAACTGTGACCTCTGTGAGGTCAGGAATGGCGTCTCACCCATCTTTGTGTGCTCAGTCTGTAGGGCAGTGCTTGGTACCTAGCATGTGTCCAATAAAAATCGGTCCAATGAATAAGCGAATGCACACCAAAGTTATCAAGGAAAACTGTTTTTGTGCATTTCTACTGCTCTAGCGATAAGGCTCAATTATACCGCAAAACAGCAGTTTACATTTATGTTTCTCAGGTTGAATAACCTTCCCTGTAACTTGAAAAGGCCAGATTATTTATAACTTTCCTATAGTTTCATCTGAATCTAGCGTGCCTTTAATGACTTCATTATAATTTGCTGCAATAAAATATGGTCATAACAAAAATGTGAAACTGACTACTCTTCAAGAGATTACATTCAGACACTACATATAATCCTTTAAAATGTAACATTCCCTTTCACAAATAATCAGTGGCATATGGGGGCAGGATGTAGAGGATGATCAAATGATCTGTCTTGGGTATAGGTAACAGGAGGACACATTTGTGTAAAGAGTCCAAAACAGACCATCTAAGAGTCATTGTGCTTTTTATCATCACCCGACCCAGACATTGTTAATCAATGTCAGTGATGACACGCTCTTCCTCTCAGGGGCAGTCTGTTTCTTCCTTCCACTCTGTCGATGTGTCCCCACAGGCAATGATGTCAGCAAAAATAGTTTTACAAACATTTCCTTCCTGAGAACCTATCAATTTCCTCACTTGTTTACATTTCCAGGCAAAGACATCCTATTCGTTAGATGATGCATTTAATCTGGTGTAAATGGGCGGGGAGAAAAATATGGTATTTTTACACTTGTAATTCCATGTACAACGACATGGAAGTTATTTAATGTGTTTGTCAAACAGCAAAAGGGAGAGTTGAACCCTCAGTTTATACCCCGAAGTGGGATATGGCCCCGATTAATTCGGATAAACACAGAAGCACAACCTGACGGAAAAAAGTTGGGAGCGATGAAAACGGAGGCCACCAATTTGATATGTTCGTGCTAAGTCTCTGCCTGAGGTGGTGCTTCGGATTTTTGTTTTAATGTAGACTTCAACCACCAATTTGTAAGTTTTTTACCAAACAGAATCATGACTTCCCTGGATGATTTTGAGTGCTATTGAGTTCCGTGGGTCTCCAGCTTTCTCAGTTATAACTGAGTCACCCCAGGACATATGGACAATGTCAAGACGTCATGTTAGGGTAATGTTGTGATGGTAGTGGGCACATTGGTTCCCCAAGGAAAGGGGAAACTGCAGTCTCCACCCTGACACTGCCATTGCATCATTATCCCCACGTGAAGCTTATATTGTCACTTTATGAATGTTCTCTCATTACCTGTGTATTGGAATTGTTTTCACGTTACATGTACTTGGTGACTTTTTTCCTTCTAGTTTATTTGTATTTTCTATGTTTCCCTTGTTTTTCTTCAAATTCACATGGTTACACTCTGGCGGGGGGGCCTGGCTGGCTTAGTTGGTGGAGCGTGTGACACTTGATCTTGGGGTCATGAGTTTGAACTCCATGTTGGGTATAGAAATTACTTAAAAATAAAATCTAAAAAAAAAAAAAAACCACAAAAAACATGGATACACTCTGTTTTGACAACTGTGTAAATTAAACAAAAACTGTCGCTACAGTAGCTCGTCACAATGAATGCCTTTATTTCTAATCACAGAATAAAAGAAATTACAACACTGCCTTGAGGCTTAGAAAACCAAAACTCTAAAAGCTTATGTTGCCATATTATTCAATGTGATCAAATAAATATTTGATACTCATAAGAATAGTAGTACACATTTATTCATTGTTTCCTTTGAACCTGTCTACTTATTTTCCATTTAATTTCTCATTTATTTGATCAATATTCCATGAAGAAGAGACTGTTACTATCATCCAATTTTGCAGCGAAGGAAACAGAAGCAAATGGAGGTTGAATACATTACCAAATATTCTAGTTAGAGCCAGGATTCCAACTTAGACGGTGCTTTCCTGTTTATAAACACCTTCAGAAAGTATTTGGTGTTTAATCATTACATTAACAGGAAGGTATGGGACTTCAACTTCCTTTACTGACTTGGTTAACTTCTTTCCTCCTGTTGAAAGCAGCCGGTCACATGCACACTTACTTCACCAAAACCTCCACACTCCCAGAGTGTGTCTAGGTAGGACCTTTAGAGAGAGTGAACTGGGGCAGGGTGTGGACAATCCTGTCGAAATGCCTTACTTAGGGAGTGTCTATCATTTACACTAATGACAGTGCAGTCAGTAAACTCTCTGCCAATTTTCAGCAACACCCTCTGCTCCCTGGTTTTGAATCACTTCACCTTGGCCGTTCTTCATTTCATGGTGCTGGATGCTCAGCAGGCCGATGAGCCTTCAAGGGAGGAATTTGTGACTATGGATAAGTCGCAAATTTTCCATGGCAAGCCTAGGAACCCATGCTTTGAGACGTCACGTGAAAATGCAGGGAGAACACTGTAAGAGTCAAATCTTATGTGAGGTCCTTCTCACGTTCATCTTTCAAAGAAGATCTTTGTAAGAAGATAGTTACTTCCAAAGAGAGAAGTAAACCTAAAACGTCCAAGAATACTATTAATAAGTATAATTCTTGCGTTCAATGTGTATGTAGCTGTGACTAGGCCTTGAAAATGGGAACCATCTTGCATATGCACCTTGTGCAGAAGTGAGTACAGGACCCAGTTCAACGGTGGCTAAATGATGTCCACCATGAGAAAAGTAAGGGGCGTGTAGAACCTAAAACCCCAGTAGTTTGACTTCTCCGTCAGTGATGCTTTAGTGACTTACAAGGTTCTTGTTTCTTCCCTGCTTTCTTGTGCCCCCAGCCCCAGATGCAGTAAGACCCCAAGACCTGTTGATTCATTCTCTTTCATGCCCCAATACCAGGTGCATCCATTCCTTTCTCATTCTTACAGGAGTCTGAGCCCTCCTTACCTCTAACTGCCAAGTATTACAGAAGCTTCCCATCAATTTTACTCTAAGTTCCTACAACCTCTCCCACAGAAACAAACCTTTCCCTATGTTCGGATGAATCTTGCTTATAAACCACTTTTGTTGTTAACACTCCACTCAAGACTCATCAAGGGCTCCCGTGACCTTTACAGTAAAGACAAAATACCTTGACAGGAATCTCAAGTCTGGTCAGAACCTTCTTACTGTGTCTGCCTCTAACTCCCCAAAATGGATCACTCCAGTTCCTCAGAACACACACACACCACATCTCTGCCCTCGGGCTCACAGCATCCACTGTAGCCAGGAATACATTTTTCTTTTTTCTTTTTAAAGTTCTCTAAAATGTACGTATTCTTCAGGGACCTCCTCCTGCAGGAAAGCTTCCTTGCCCAGTCCAGCACGGAACCAGCACTCTTAAGAACCTCTGCCAGCTAAAATCGCACTTTTACCTACGATCTTAGTTAAGTTTACATTGGCCTTGACACCTTTTTTGCTCTGAGAATCCCCTACGATGCCTAGCCTTGCACAGAGTAGGTGCTCCATAAATGTTCACTTACTGATTCTTAAAGCAGCCATGAAAATTCCAGGGAAGCATCTTTTGTATGAATCTCTCATATGCCCAATGGAGGTCAGCATCCATATATATTTGTTCATTTTACCTTGTTCTAGAAACAATAGTGATCATTTTTGTCTTCCCTTTATCTTTTGAATAGTTGACGATCAAAGTACCTACTACATACTGACAGGATTTAGCATCTTGTTAATGCTAATCAATATCATGGTGATAACGCTAAAAGTGTTCTGGATTGAGTTTATTCTGCTCTGGAGAGACATAGCTAGACCTTACAAAAGTAGGAATGGTAAGTGGCGAGTTTCAAATTTTCCTTCAAAAGAAAAAGATCCATAATGGCTGATGGTTACTTGTCTGTTGATCTCTTAACAGCTGTCGACTAAATCCAGATTTTGCTGATAAATGTATTCAGAGTAGACCTTTTTTTTTTTTTTTTTTTCAGTTCACTTAGTGGCCATTTTCTATCCTTTTTTGTTGCTTCTCATGGTTCTGAGATTCATCTCAACACCTCAGGTTTCCTCCCCAGCAGGATTGCTGTTCCTACTAAATAACAGAATCTGCCCCAAGCCCAGAGTGGTTTAAACAGTTTGGAAAATGTGTATTGATGAAACTTCATGGAATTTAAAACTTAAAAAAAATTGTTCCCGTTTTCCAGAAGTGAACAGTGTAGAAGGGGCCATCAGAATGCGGGTGTATTTTGCCAGAAAGCCCATTCCATAAAGAGTCTTATCTATGCACACAAGTAGACACATGAAAGAATACAATTGTGCCCCGCTAAACAAGAACACCATTCTTTCCTTTGAATGAAGATATATTTTACATTTTCCCTATGGTCCTCTCAATTCGGGATAATTATTCAATTTGTGGGAAATGCAGATCCTTTAAAAAATTCTACTTGAGCATTTCCGTTTCCTTGGGTAAGCACGGAGAAAACAAAAGATAAAATTGAGATCTGCCCCAAACAGCAGAAGAACTCGTTATCCATGACTGTAAATATTTCTCAATAAATTATTACTCACACTTGACAATATGATGTGATGAGCTAAACTGGACGGGCTCTTGCCTATTCTCTCTCATTCAGTGTGAGACAGTGAAGAGGTGAACTTTAGGATTAAGATTGATTTTCTGATGACTTTCTGTAGCAGTAGATTGTCCTCACCATCTCTGGATTCCAGAATATTTTGGGGGGTGGGATGCAGTCACCACCAACCATAAAATCGAGTGAAGAATGTCTAGTGAGAGTCAAATTTGGAGAACCAAGTAATAAAGTTGCTTTTCTTGTTCTCATTTTCAGATGGAAAGATCTACGATGCTTACGTTATCTATCCGCGGAACTATACAAATAGTCCTGAGAGGGCCAGTGCTGTGGGATATTTTGTTTACCAGATTCTGCCTGATGTTCTGGAAAATAAATGTGGTTATAACTTATGCATTTACGGGAGAGATATGCTACCTGGAGAAGGTAAAGCTGTCAAAATACATCAAGGACAGGGGCGCCTGTGTGGCTCAGTCAGTCAAAGGACCAACTCTTGATTTCGGCTCATCATGAGCCCATGTTTCACTGGATCCAACCCCGCCTCAGGCTATGCGCCGGACAGAGACTGAGATTCTTTCTCCTTCTCTCACTGCCCCTCCTCCCTCTCAAAATAAAATAAACTTAAAAAAATACATTAAGGACAGAAATTCACATTCATCAGAACCCTAAGAGATAGGTGGTCTTCTCCCTGTGTTGGATAGGGAATTGCAATCATTATTCCATGCCTTAAAACCAGGGTTTTTAAGTATTGCTCTGGAAGAATGAGATACTTACTCTTTGCTCCTCCTGCCCCCATAGCCAAACCGATCGTGACGTTTTCACAGGAGTGTCAGTGACGTGAAGACACAGTAAGCTGTCTTTGCGGGGTGGATTTAGCAAAGCACTGCCCCTACTTACTTCCCACATCCACCACTAACATAACTGACATTTCTTAGTTCTCTCTAGAAGAATTGAAAGAGGACTCACAAAACAAAGAATTGTGTTCTAATATCCAGAGGCATTGGCTACAATATTTGAAAGGCCTCAGAGTCTTTATGATTTTCCTTGTATAGGGGAAACATTTGCAGATGTATATTCTCACAACAACTAGAGCTGTCTTCTGTTTCATCAAGTGTAGTCAATTCCATGTACCTTTGAGAGTAATTCTGCCATTTCAGAAGCAGTTCTCTTTGTCTCTCTACATTTATGTCAAGCACCCATGAACCCTCCTTAAGGCCCTTCTCAAATTCCTCAGGGACCAGGAAGCATGTGGAATATGAATGAGGCAGGAGCATCATGAGGGTAATTCCAATAAAGCAAATGCTTAGTAGACTGTGAACTTAACCTGGCATTTCCACTGAAAAGAGGGATTCAGCATCTATAGATTTAAAGGAATACATGGAAGGTGAAGCTGGTTTGTCCTGGAATATTTATTTGGGCAATGTTAATCACCCCATAATGGCTTGGGAGGCTTATAAAATGAACAATTCAGGAAAATGTAATCCAAGTTTCCTCTGGATTCTTTCTCCCTCCTCCAACTCTCCCTTTGGCTACTCAGGCCAGTCGAGAGGAGCAAGTCATGGTGCTCGAATGTTCTTTTTCATGTGACACACCAGCACAGGAAGCTGCAGGGATTCCATCCGTTCGTGATGTCACAGCACCTGCTACACTTGGCTGCAAGCTCTTCATCTCTTCTTTCTGAGATGCGTTGACCTCACTTGTAGCTCCGTCTCGTTCCAGACAGCTCGCTGATGCTCAAGCTCGTGTAGCCTGCATCGTGCTGGTTTTCATGTGAGAAGACTTCCTACTTCCCCTCCCTCAAGGGGAAGTCTTCTGACCTTACTTCAACCAAAATAAAATCAGATCTAACAAAACAACACCAAACTTCACTCTTCCCTTAGAAAAAGATCATGACTGCCTGCATCAGTATATTTCTTCCCCTCCTAGGTATCTTCTGTTTGCTCCTTCAAGTCCACTCTGCATCCCACTCCATCCAATGGCCCTGGGTGGCTGGTCATTATGGAATCCATCACACTCCTGCCTTCTGCTCCACGCGGAGTTTGGCCAAGAGGGAGCACTGGGGGCAGGTCAGAGACAGGCATCTTGTGAGGTTGCCAGGGTGGCTGGGCTCCTTTCTCCCAAAGCAAGGGCTCTTGATAGCTGCTTTCATACTCATTAGGGTTCCATAACTGCTTCCTCCCCTTCATACCTGGAGGGTGGTAATGCCTCCTGTGTTATTTCCAATGTTGGGGGTTCTGAGGTATCTCTCATTGATTTCCCTTGGGTCTGCCCACATTTTTTATAAATTGACCTTTGATTAAACTCTCTTAAGTCAGTCCTTTGAGTATGCCAAGTTTTATGTTGGGATCCTGACCAACATAAGGTCTCTACCTGGCAGTATTTAACATTTATTTCCCTAGTTCCCACTACATGAATTGGCAGTCTTTCAGCTGCCAGCCTCTAGGAATATCTTGAGTGGTTTCATTCGTGGTTAAGCTTCTTTGATCGTGCTGTTACCTCCTTGCAGTGAGAGCTGAGTATTTTACATGTTCTTTCTAAGTCTGTCCAGAAGTTACCTGCTATCGTCTTGGAGTTGATGCTGTATTAACTCCAACCTGATAAGGGGATCTGGTCTTCCTTAAGATTTTTCTAGTCTGGATCAAATCAGCTTCTAAAACCGAGATCTTGGGGAAAGACATGAATCCAGGACTCCCCTAGAGGCTTGAATCAGTTCAGAGAAGCAAGGGTTCCTAAGAGTTAAAGTTCTAAGCCCTATTAAACACATAAGCTAATATTCGAAGAGGGCAACATGTAGTTAATGAACTTGAATTCTAAGTCTCTTGCTAAATATCTCTACATTCCCATTTAACTCCAAGGACTCTGTTTTAGTTAGGACCCCTCTACCTGGGAAGGAAGAAGGCTTTGGGACTGATGTTCTGACAGTGAGAAGGAGAAGATGAACACAAGTTGTCCATCCAAGCTCATTCCTACTTTCCTGAATAAAGAATTGATCAGTGTCAGAATCTCATGGCAGGCTATAACAATAACAGTTTTTTAAAGTTCAGAACATTTATGATCAAAGCATTAGACTTAAAAATGCATCAACAGGAAATCTGGTCCATGTCTTTTATCCCCAGATGCAGCCACCTCAGTGGAAACCAACATACGGAAGAGTAGGCGGCACATTTTTATCCTGACTCCTGAAATCACTCACTGCAGGGAGTTTGCCTATGAGCAGGAGATCGCCTTGCACAGTGCCCTCATCCAGAATGACTCCAAGGTGATTCTTATAGAATTAGAGGCTCTGAGCAAGCCAGGAGGGATGCAGTTTGGGGAGCTCCAAGATTCCCTCAAGCACGTCGTGGAAATGCAAGGTACCATCAAGTGGAAGGAAGATGATGTGGCCAACAAACGGTCCCTGAATTCCAAGTTCTGGAAGCACGTGAGGTACCACATGCCTGTGCCAAACAAACCCTCAAGGAAGACATCCACTTGGGCTTCCCTGAGTACCCAGGGGCAGTAGCGCTTGCTTTGATGGGCTGGTGCACCAGATTTCCTAGATCTGCATTCCTTCTGGCAGGATTACGCCCCTGGGCCAGACACTGGAGCAGAGGCAGGAGAAATGGGGACATGTCGAGGGTGTTCAGGCCTCAGGTTTCATCTAGCAACTTTACTTCCATTTTCCTGATTCTGGGTGGATGCAAAATGCCCCGAAATTTTTCTCCTAACTCCCCCTCTCTTCACCCCACATTTCCTTCCTTTTCTCCTTTTGCTGGTCTTTCTCCATAAGACCTAGGATCTTGTCACTATTCTTTTGTCCATCTTTCTCTCCCTTTCTTGTTCTCCTGCCCTTTTTTCCTTGTCAATATCCTACATTTTGAACAAACGAAAAGCATCAGAGCGAAATTTGCATGTAACCATGAAGAACACTCCGATTCCCACAAGCAGAATATTAGCGGCAAGTCTTGTTTCCAACCCACCAAAAATTATTATATTTTATTTTAATGGGTGTTAAGTTTTATCATCTCAATATTGTAGATACCATTGGGGTCCCTTACCCAACTGCCATTACAATCAGTATTTGAAGTTCTAAAGTCGCTTTGATATATTTTTATTCTCCTTAGAAATATTTTTTTCTGGGGCGCCTGGGTGGCGCAGTCGGTTAAGCGTCCGACTTCAGCCAGGTCACGATCTCGCGGTCCGTGAGTTCGAGCCCCGAGTCGGGCTCTGGGCTGATGGCTCCGAGCCTGGAGCCTGTTTCCGATTCTGTGTCTCCCTCTCTCTCTGCCCCTCCCCCGTTCATGCTCTGTCTCTCTCTGTCCCAAAAATAAATAAAAAACGTTGAAAAAAAAATTAAAAAAAAAAAAAGAAATATTTTTTTCTCACTCTAAAAGTTACAGAAGAACAGAAAAGATCAAAGAAGAAAAGAGTGAGTATTATCCACAAATCCATCATCCTAAGATAATGACTTTTAAACATTTGGGTAAATTTGTATTTAAAAAATTTTTAACTTGTACTTAAATGTTCTGTTAATATAGCTGAGCTCGCACAGTGTGTAGGGTTTATACATTTTTTTCTACTTAACATCATAATAAAAACACTTGACATGTCACTTAAATTTTAACATTTTAACTATTCATAGAGTTCTATTTCACTGTTGTGCCACAGCTGACATGCCTAATTAGTTATTGTTGTATATTTGAGTTGTGTTGAGTTTAAATAGCCATCATTATAAGTAATTTTGCAATGACCATACCAGCATATTTTATATTTCCCAGTTACAATTTTTGAACTTAAAACAATGTTTGTTTATTTATTTTGAGAGAGAGAGAGAGAGAAAGAGAGAGTGGGGGGAGCGGTAGAGAGAGAGGGGGAGACAAAGAATCCCAAGCAGGCTTCAAGCTGTCAGCACAGAGCCCAATGCGGTGCTCGATCTCACAAACTGTGAGATCATGACCTGAGCCGAAACCAAGAGTTGGATGCTTAACCGACTGAGCCACCCAGGCGCCCCCCTATTTTTATTTTTTAATTTGAGAAATTGGTTTGTTGTAACATTTCTATGAAATTAGTAAAGCATTTTGACAGAACCCTTTGACAAAAGTGATGTCAAGGTATGCAGTCAAGACCACTCCTTGAAGGGGTTCACATAGTCTCAGGGGCCACAGAGCCCATCAGTGGATACGGAACTCAGCAGTGTCCTCTCAGGCTGGGAGTCCTGTCAGAGCTCAGATTTTACAGGTGGATGGAGATCTTACCCTCAGCTGAGCTGCTTTAAAACGTGTATGATTTCAGATTTAGCTACAAAAGAAAACTGCACTCCAGACCCTCGACAGCAAGTATAATTTTGCATTGTCACTCAATGCCTTACTGAGCCTTGCTTGAAAAGAGATCACATTTCTGGAAGGTTGCCTAAAGGATCTGCAGTGACCCATCCTTCTATGTACCCTATAATCTGAATCTATACTCCCTGGATTAAGGTTACCAGATAAATTACAAGACATCAGTTAAAGTTGAATTCCAAGAATGAATTTTCATATGAAATTGATCTGAAATTCAAATTTAGCTGCGAATCTTGTATTTTTATTTGCTAAATCTGATTCTCCCTATGCTGGTGGGCTATTGTGCTTTTCTGTGGTGACATCTGATTTCGTTGAATTAGTAAAAAACAAAACAAAACAAAGAAAAAAAAAAACAAAGCCTGTGAGAAGGATGCCCTATAAATGATTGGTCAACATCACCTAATTGGAATCAACAATCTATCCTCTGCTCTCAACCAGCTGTGTGACTATGAGTAAGTTACTCAACTTCTCCAAAATTTCTCCAAAATTACCTTAGGTAGCATGAGAATAAACCATACCAAACTCTTTGTATTTTTGTGCAAATCAAAAAGTAGAAGAAGACTCTTTGGACCAGAGAAGAATTCAATAAATGGCAACATCTCATTGTGCTTTTTGAAACGTGGATGATACTCCCAAGTCCTCTCGCAATGAACACCTCTGAAGGATACTTCTCCACCCTCGCCAGCAGGAATAGATGTGCCTTTAATCCTGATTCCCCACCCACCTGGACTTACAGACATTTGTTTGGTGGATGGACACAGGGCATTTTGGAACTGATTTTATTTACCTCTTTGCATTAGCTACTTGACAGCATGGAGACTAATTTGGGCTCTTTCTACAGCAAGTACGTACATGGGATATCACAACAAGGAGTTTATAATAATCTCTTCCCTGTTTTTGATACACTTTCTTTTTAACTATATTTTAACTGTCTGTATTATATGCTGCTTTGCAAGTATTCAATGTTTACATTTCCTGAACATGAGCTGAGTATCTCTTTGAGAAGGGCAGGGAGAGGAAGAGCCCTGGAGGGGTATTCAGGTGAATCAGGCAAACTCCTTACTTATCTTATGGGGTTAGAACGGGAAGGGCCAAGGGAAACACTTCACAGAACCAGACAGGGCTGGCCCCAGGAGCAACTCTGAGCTCTTTTCTGCAGTGCTTCCTTTCCCAAACTTACACACCACCTCCCAAGTCATCTGAGCTTCGGTTTCTGCAAACTAAGGATGGAGAAGAAGAGCTCTGAGGTCTTTCTCAGCTCTCATAGCCTGATTCCAAGCCTATGCTCACAGAGAGACCGCAGAACTTCCAGAAGCCTGGATTCTCCTGCCAGCAGCACCACCGACCTCTCTCGCTTCCTTCATCTGTACCATCAGAGTGACAAGTGCTTCATGTACCACACAAGGTAGTGTGAAATACAATGAATACAGCCCAAACCAGTGATGTGTCTACCTTATGACCCGGGTTTAAATTCTGGCGAATTATAAAGACACAAAGAATTGCTCTTGCCTGAGTCAAATTTGCATACGATAAAAGGCAAGATTTTAAGTTTGATGAGTCTTGACAATTACGCATACTTGTGTAGCTATCATCCCAAACAAGATAGAAATAGTTCCATCACCCCCGGACGTTCCATCCTGCCATTTCCCAGTCAACCCCTCTCCTCAGAGGCAGTGTTCTGATTTCTGTCTCTATGGATTCGTTTTGTCAGATCTTGAAATTTCTACCAGTAAAGTTAGGCGCGCAGCATTGTGACTCCCTACTTCCACACAATGTAACATTTTGAAGATTCATCGATGTTTTGCATGTGTCAGTTGTTTGTTCCTCTGTATTACTGAGCGGTATTCCATTGCATGGCTGTACCCGGTATGTTTAACCTATCCCTGTTGGTGGACACATGGGTGGTTTCATGTTGTACGTACTGTGGATCTGGAGACTGTGAACACTCTTGTGGACTTGTGTTTGTATTTTTCTTAGCTCGATACCTAGGACTGGTCCCTTTTTGGAAACTGTCAACTTGGCAAACTGTACCATTTTATGTTTCCTACGGTTATGTATGAGACTGCTCTTATGATTGAGTCAATCCTCACCAATGACTGGTATTGTCAGGCTTCTTTTCCTTTTAGTTATTTCAGTGGGTGACAAATGAACCTCATTATGGTTTAATTTGCAGTTCCCTGATGATTAATGATGTTGAACCTTTTTCATGACCTTATTCACCAATAAGATTCATGTATTGCTCAGTGAAAGTAAAGTCTTCTGCACATTTAAAAAAATTTTTTTCAACGTTTTTATTTATTTTTGGGACAGAGAGAGACAGAGCATGAACGGGGGAGGGGCAGAGAGAGAGGGAGACACAGAATCGGAAACAGGCTCCAGGCTCCAAGCCATCAGCCCAGAGCCTGACGCGGGGCTCGAACTCGCGGACCGCAAGATCGTGACCTGGCTGAAGTCGGACGCTTAACCGACTGCGCCACCCAGGCGCCCCATGCACATTTTTAAATTGTGTTGTTTCTCTTCATATTGTTGATGTGTGGAAATTTTTAAAATATATTCTGTATATAAATCCCTCTTCATATAGGTGTAAGGTGAGAATTGTTCCAGGCTTACCTCCTTATCTCTTCCTTTTTTTTAAATGAAATCATTGATTGGCAGACATTTTTAATTTTGATAACACCCAACTGATCAATTTTTCTTATATGGTTAGTGTTTTATGTGTCCTAAGTTTTTGTTTGTGTTTGTTTTTGTTTGTTTGTTTGCTTGTTTGTTTTTATCTCAACATCATGGAGATATTCTCCTATGGATCTTCACAAAGTATTTATGGTTCCAGCTTTTATGTTCACTATGATCACATTGTCCACTGTGAATTAATATTTGTATATAGGATGAGGGGAGGGTTAAGCTTCATTTTTTCCCCCACAGAGATGCCCAATTTTTTCAGCAACACTTGTGAAAAAATTTTCTTTCTCCATTGAACTGACATGGTGCCCTGGTCAAAAATCAATAGGCTGTAAATGTGTGGGTCTATTACTCTACTCTCTATTATTTTCTGTTTATATGTTCATGCAAATATCACAGTTAGGATTAGTATTGCCTTATTGTAAACCTTCAAGTCAGTGTAAGTCTTTGTTCTTTTCTCCCCAAGATTGTTCCAACTATTCTAGATCATTTGCATTTTCACATAAATTGTAGAAACAGTTTCTCGATTTCTTTGAAAATTCCTCCTAGGATTTGGATTGCATGAAATATATAGACTCTATAACGTATAGAGTCAAAAATGTATAGAGTATATAAACTCCACAGTTTGTGCAGAATAGATATCTTAACAATTTTTAGTTCTTTCCAATCTTCCAATTTTTAGGTCTTTCATTTTTCTTGGCAGTATTTTGTAGATTCCATTGTAGACAATTTGTACATGTTTCAAGGGACTTATACCCTGGTATTTAATTTTTATGGTATTATACGTGGTATTATTAACAAGTTTCATTTTTCAAATTTCCATTACTAGTATAAAGAATTACACTTGAGTTTGTATATTGGCTTTTTATTCCATGGTTTTGCTGAACTCACCTATTATTTCCAGTAACTCTTTTGTGAATTTCAAAGGGTGATCATAAAATCGACCGTCTGTCAAAAACAGTAGTTTTATCTCTTCATTTCCAATCTGTATGTCTTCTATTTTTATTTCTTTGCTTATTACAACAGGATTGTCCCGGATGAAAGATAACATCCTTATCTTGTTCCCCATCTTAGAAAAAAAAAGCAAAGTGTTTCAGTATTCATGATGAAACTACCTACAGGTTTCTTATAGACATTCTTTATCAGATCAAGACTGTTTCTTTCTATTCTCAGTATTCCTAGTGTTATTTGAAGAAAGCCTGTTGAATTTTGTCAGATGCTTGTTCTTATTGCATTTGAGATAATTATATGATTATTCTCTTTTATTATATGATGAATTATTTTGACCGAGTAAAAAGGATGAAAACCACTGCCTCATTAAACGTTCTTCCTGTCAGCCATGGTTTCGTTCTTCACTTTTCTTGGAAAGACCCTACCACAGACCAGTCTAAAAATGTATCCTGAGTTCTACCACAGTAAAACAAAAAAACAAAAAAATTAGGAGTACAAGTTCTCCTTTGCCCTTCTTTTGTTCTAAACAATCTAAAATTTCAGTTCAACCTCTGACCCCTCTCCATTACTTCCCAGGAGAGAACCGCGCCCCCCCCCCCACCCCGCCCCAACCCCCAGCACAGGCAGAAGGCCTCGGCACAGATCTGAGGCTTCAGTGCTTCAGACAATGGCTTCCTCCTCACCTTGGATAACTTCTAGAAGCCGTCCTGTCATTTTGGAGCTGTTACTTGGCCTCTTTCCTGTCTACAGCCCCCACCCCTGGCTCCTTCCCCTTGACCACAGACGGCGCCCCTCTGCCCCACGGGCGGGTTGACTTTACTCTGGTGCAAACCTTTCCGCGGCCTGTAGGGTGTGCAAATGCAGCACCGAGCGCCCAGGGCACTGCGGGTCCCTCGGCCACCGCCCACCAGCCGAGAGTTCCCGAGACCCGCCGCGCCCCGCCGGGGACCGCAGCTGACCTCCGTGCAAGGGCGAGGCGGGATTTTCCAGCTGTGTGCAGTCGCCGCCGCGATCAAGCAACTCCCGGAACTCAGAGGCGGGGCGCCCAGGTGGAGGAGCCGAAACCCCAAGAACGCTGGAAGGGGCGCCCCAGACAAGGAGCACTCCGGGGCCGGAACGCCTGCGCCAGGGCGTACTCCCCTCAGAGGAGCACCGCAGACTGGGAGGATTCCCCCCATCCCTTAGCCCCCCCACTGGGAACAAGCCTCGACCAGGAGCATCTTCGATTGGAGCAACCCAGACCTGGAACACTCTGCGGGACCCAGCAGCGCCCGACTTCCAGCACTGCAGACACTGGGCAGGGGCAGCATCCCACCTACAGCCTTCGCGGCGGCTGCCTGACGCTTTTTCTTTCTTCTGCTTTTTTTTGTACCCCCCCCCCCCTTTTTTTTTCCTCCAACCTTCTCTAGTTGCCTTATATCTTTAATCACACTTGCGGCTCCTCTCTTTCCTTTCGTGTTTCACAGCGCTGGGGAGGCGGCGATTGCAGTTTCTCACCTGCTGTTTGAACTCCTGCCTCTGTCGCTGAGGCCACCAGGGTGGAGGAGGGACGGCCGCCCCCGCGCCAGCCTCGGGGACTCCCCTCTGAAGGTAAGAAGCGGCGCCCGGATGCCATCCTCACCCCCTGCCCCCTCCCCTCTGCTGCCGGCCCGCCTGGCAAAGGGCGACCCAGCCTCCTGGGGCCAGGGTTCTGAAAACAAGATCAGCTTAGTATGTATGCTACTATGTGTACAGGTCTGCCTCCACTTAGGATGAGGGTAGTCCTGACAGACCCAGCCTAAGCTGAAAATATCTTAAGTCACTGGAATATGAATCTATTTCTTGAACATTATAGCTTAGCCCAGCCTATCTTGAAGGTGCTCAGAACACATACAGTAGCCTACAGCTGGGCAAAATCCTCTATCACAATGCCTAATTCGTAATAAACTGTTGAGTATCTCATTCAGTTGATCGGATAGTGTGCTGAAAGTGAGAAACAGAATGGTTGCCTGGGTACAGAATGGTTGTAAGTGTATCTATTGTTCACTGTCGTGAACCCCTGGCCCACTAGGAGTTGGGACTAGAGAGGATCCTAGGGCGTAACACTAGCCTGGGGGAAGATACAGATTCAAGGTTCCAGATACGGTTTCCACGGAATGTGTATCTCTTTTGCACCATCATAAATGAAAAAAAAAAACTTGTGAGGAGTCACCGTATGTAAGAAGTGTATATATATATATATATATATATATATATATATATATTCAGATATGTATATAAATATGGAGTATATATGTGCATGTGTCTGCATATACACGCACATATATATGCACACACACACACACGAATAGTTGGTGAGACAGAATCATCAACTTTCCCTGAGAGTATAATTTTAAAGGTTAAAACTTCCCCAATTATTTTTTCCTGAAAAAGTGAAAATGGCTACAATATTTGGTAGTTTTCACTTATTAGGCTCTTGTCTGACATGGCGTAGAAAACTTTTAGATGCATTATTTTTATTTATTCTTCTGTAGGCCAAATGAAGTAGGCACTATCATTATGCTTAATTAAAGGAGGAGAACCAAAGCACAGGGATGTTTAGTTATTTATCCAAGGGCATCCAGCTACTAAGTAATAGATCACAGATTCACAACAAAATTTCTCTGATTCCAAAACGTTAGCCTTTAATTCGAGGTGCCTCCAGGAGTGAGAACCCCGAGCAAATCGCACTGCAGTTATGAGACAAATTAATGACTGGGCAATCCCAGGCAGATATAGACACCTGAGGTGATTGTATGAATTTCACCCCCTTCCCTTGGTCTATTCTTGGGAACCTCCCCCAACACTCATTTGGTGCTGTGCAACGCTGGGATCTGGGGCACACATCTCAACCCAAGGTCCTTGGATGGTTTGGGAGGGTGTAGATTTGGGAGAAGCTGGGTTTATGCAGGTTCTGGGATGGTATGACTGCTCCCCCCTCCCACCGGCACAAAAACATATAAAGGCTCTGAGCAAGTGGTGTGGGAACACGGAAAGACAGGGTCTCTGGCCTCAAGGAAGTCCCAGGGAGCGGGGATGAATCAGGAGTAATGGGAATGCAGTGCGTACAAGTGTGCAGGTGTCTGGGGCACCAGCCATTGGAGAGCTTCCTTGAGAAGGCAACCATTGAGCCAGGCTGTTAGAATTCAGGGAGCCGACAGTTAGAAGCAGGAAGGGTTCAAGTAGCAGGACTGGCACAGGCACAGGTGGAGGTGGGGGAAGCAGAAGGATCACAGCAGGTGTCTGTGCATGGGAATGATGCTCCTGGCCCTGCACAGGGCAACCCTCGTTCAACATAAATGCTGCTTTCCTTGGAGTGGAAGCGTGGATGTGCACGCACGTGTGCACGTGTGTGTTTTATGTCCAAGATCGCTTTTTCCTCTTTGCATTTGGTGGTTTTGTCATGTTGAAGGCTGAGTGAAACACTTAGGCATTGAACACTGTAGAGAAACAGTTATTTTAAAAATCACTGGTGTTAAGATTTTCATCAAGGCAGCTTATCTTAGGAGGTACTCAATTATGTTTTGCTAATAAGGGTGATTTTCACGGAAGCAATCTACATCTATTTATGTGGGTCAGTGTAACTTTCTACAATCTGGACCTATTCACCTGGTCCAGTCTCAGCTTCCTCAGCAGAAATTCTGTGAACTATTATTATTTTTTTCTAGAGAATGGTCACTTTGCTCAGGGTGGGGTCTATAAACAGGGCAGTTGGACAGAACCAGAGACTCAGGAATGAACATTCAGACACTCTGCAGGGGCCCTGGATAGTACTACACTGGGTTCAGAGAGAACAGTTGGCTTGTGTCTGTATCCTCACTCTAAGTCACACAATTTTTAGAAGAGAACCTTTTTCGTTTAGAGAAAACTTCATTCCATTTGGTGATTTAGGGGAAATTTGTGAGTATTCTTTGTGTGTGTATGTCTGTGTGTGTACATAGATAACTCACTTATATACACATACCTATATATGCACAGATACTTAATGTCTTAAATAATAAATATTATCGTTAAATGTGTATATTTGTGATCTATTAAATTTACTTTTAAGTATACAAATAGGCCCCTAGATTAGTGTCTTTCTACCTTGGCTGCATATTAGAATCACCTGGATGATGTTTAGCAATCAGGAAGCCTAGGCTGTACCTCAGGTGTCTGGGTGGGGACCCAGGCATTATTATTATCATTTTTTTAAGCTCAAGGTAGATTTCACATTCACTGTTAAAACATATTTTCCAAGCAGTGTGGAGGTTCCTCAGAAAATTAAAAATAGACCTACCCTATGACCCAGCAATAGCACTGCTAGGAATTTATCCAAGGGATACAGGAGTACTGATGCATAGGGGCACTTGTACCCCAATGTTTATAGCAGCACTCTCAACAATAGCCAAATTATGGAAAGAGCCTAAATGTCCATCAACTGATGAATGGATAAAGAAATTGTGGTTTATATACACAATGGAATACTACGTGGCAATGAGAAAAAATGAAATATGGCCTTTTGTAGCAACGTGGATGGAACTGGAGAGTGTGATGCTAAGTGAAATAAGCCATACAGAGAAAGACAGATACCATATGGTTTCACTCTTATGTGGATCCTGAGAAACTTAACAGAAACCCATGGGGGAGGGGAAGAAAAAAAAAAAAAGAGGTTAGAGTGGGAGAGAGCCAAAGCATAAGAGACTGTTAAAAACTGAGAACAAACTGAGGGTTGATGGGGGTGGGAGGGAGGGGAGGGTGGGTGATGGGTACTGAGGAGGGCACCTTTTGGGATGAGCACTGGGTGTTGTATGGAAACCAATTTGACAATAAATTTCATATATTAAAAAAAAAACCATATTTTCCAAGATGTCATGATTTAAGAAGCATTTCAAAAGTAAGATTGTGTGGGTGTAACAGTGGATCAGGTGATCACCTAAGATGCCCAACTGTATATAGTTAATGAATCTAATGTGTGTGTTAATTCAGCAGATAATAAACAAACATAAAATAAAGTGTATCCGTTAGCAATAAGTGCTATGAATGGAAAAATAAAACACAACGGAAGAGGAGAGAGTGGTGTGTGTGTGTGTGTGTGTGTGTGTGTGTGTGCTTGCATATATTTGCACTTCCTGAGCAGTGATACTGTTAGATTTCCACAGAGTGCTTGCACAGAGGGCCCATACTTATAACTATGCTGTCAACACATAGGAAAGGCAGGACTCTTTAATTAATTATTCATCTGATAAAGAGTAGGATGAGGGTTCAAATCCAGCCAGTCTGGCCCCAGAGGCCGGGCTCCAAAAACTGATACATATCGTCTGACATGAGAAGATGGCCATGGGGTTATTTTGTAATCAAATATATCTTATAAATTATAATTAGACTCGTATCAAGGAATATATGTAGCAATTAAGATGATGGTAGCAAAGACATTTTTGTGACACAGGAAGGTGCTCATTTAATGAGTAGAAAATGCAGGATATGAAACTTTTTAAACATAATCCTAATTAGTTGAAAAAATATGTAGAAAAAGCACAAGGAAACATGTTAAATTATTTTGCATATTGAGATTATTTTCTTCTTTTCAATCTTCATTTTATAAATGCCCCCTATTGGGCATATAATACTTTAGAAATCAGAAAAAAAAATTTTTTAAAGAAAGGAGAGAAGCAAGGAAGGAAAGCAAAAAGGAAGGAAGAAAGAAAGAAGAAAGAAATTCAAATATTATGGAAAGGCAAAAAAAAAAAAAAATCAACATCACACATGGTACCAAATGTGACATTTCCAGAATAGCTTTTCTTTTGGTAATGAGTTCTATTATTTAATATCTTAATCTTTTAAATCCAGAAAAGCACAATAAAATTTTTATGTTTACATACACAGAGCAGTGCAAATATCAGCTAATTTGTATACTGGGATCTTAACATGATTCATATTGAAACTCAGAGTTAACTCATCAGAATGCTAGATTATTTCTTAATAACTTTATCTCTCAGTAGACCTTGAAAATTAACAAAAACCAAAACCAAGAAAAAATAGCAGTGCCCTTTATAAGGCTGTGTCAACCTTCACCAGAGGAAACAACACGTTTCATTCTATCCAAGGTAAGAGAATAGATAGTTAATAATAAATACGTGTGTGTGAGTGTAGGTGGGGGATTGATTTCAAACCATAGAACCATAGAAATATTCTAATTTAGTTATTTTGAACACTTGGTACTTTCCATACCTACTTAACCCTTTACGTGACTGATTATTATCTCTTGGAAATTACATCAGATGCTTTGCTTTGTGATGTTATTCATAAAGATTGATGTAAATGGTCTGACTGCATAGCCCTTAAACTTCATCCAGGATTTGGACGTTAACTGTTTTTCTTCTTTTTTAAGTATGGGAGGTGCATGGCAGTTAATAAGAGAATTATTTGGGACTGAGAGGCCACTATGCATTCAGAAAGCCTTGGCAAACATTAGCTCATTCTATCACTCAGTAATTTTGGTCATAGGCCTTCTTATCATCTCCACTTTGGTAATGAGCAGCTAGGCTCTGAGACTTTTAAGTAACTTGCCCGAGGTTGTACAGCTGGTCGAGTCTCAGCTGGAGATGCCAACCCAGGTGTAAGAGCCCTGCTGCCCCTTTCCCCTGTCCTACTCTCTAAAATTGTAATTCACAGGACAAAAGATGGGTTAGAGTACGACTGAAATTCAACACAGATTTGAGTTCATTGACCCAATGTAGATTAGGCATTTGGAGTGTAGGAAACTCTTGCTTTGTCTCTGTTTCCCTAAAATAAACACACGTGGGCATGTGTGTATAGACACATGCATGCACACATCCGTACACCTGTTCCTCCGGAATGAGCATTAGTCCTTACTATGTACTAAGCATTGTACGACTGTGTGCTGGGATGTTAGTGATATAATAATGGACAAAACAGACTTAATTCCTAACTTATCAAGAACTTAGTTCTGATGAAGAAAGATGGATATTTAAAATTTCAAGCCACACATGAAGATCACAATGAGCATTTTGGTGTGATGAGAAAAAAAAGAACACACACACACACACACACACACACACACACACCCCTACATGAGTAGACCTGCCATACATATCTTGGCACTTCACAGAATGTTCTTTCATAGAATAGTAGATTTTCTGTACAGCAGACTCTCTTGTATTAGAAAATTGCATTATTAGGAATTTTTCCTGCCTTGAAATGTGATGAATTCTATATGGCTGAAAGTTCTGAGAACACTTGGTGACTCTATTAAGGGATATGGAAACTTACTGTGCTGATTTTTTTAAAGTTTGCATGCCAGAAGATGTTTTAAAATCTCCTTCATGAGACAGGTATACTTTTGTTTGCAAGTTTTGGCTGAACCCATCTTGCTCTGTTTTCCAGAGAAACCACTGGAAACAGAATCCTAAATATGCGTCATAGAGAACTGCTCTTAACACTTTTGGCACTTATGTTTACAAGCACCTCAGGTAAGTAATTATAATCATTCACGGACATACTTCATCGGTAGTTGAGAGGGAAGAGCAAGGTTTCACTTTTTTTTTATGTGGAAGTGGCTACTTAAAATGCTGAATTTATTAACATTAGTGGTTTTAAATTTTACTTTGAGAGTTACCAATTCGTGTCCCTGGCATAGAGAATAAAACGTTCGTAGAAATGGAATCAAGTAAAGAATCATATGGGATTGCTGAAAAGGAAATATTTAGTCCTCTAAGTTTATGTAGAGAGAGCAGGATCGTGTGTGGAAACACATTACATTTGTCTGAGGTGAAACTCTGCTTTGTGTTATTGAAAACTGAAGAGTTCACACCCATCTTTATTGTTGATATTTAGCAAGTTTTATACACATTATTTTTCTGCCAACGCGGAGGCCAAGGTTCATCTTGTTATTTAGGTGATGAAGACAGTGAGGGGGAATACTTTACAGGTCTTGAGGGAAATATTCGAGTTAGAAGGAGTACCTAAGAAAGACTGTGTAGACTAGGGAAAACATGTAGTCTTTATATCAGATGGCAGATAGCAATTTTAACTGATTAGCAGTAGCAGTGATCACTTGGAAACTTACCGAGAATGATTCTGGGGTCTCATTAGGATCCTTTGGAGAAGAGACACGTGACCGATAAGCAAGGTTCTCCTTATGCCTTGGAAGAGAAAGTGGGAATGCCAATACCGATTTGCCTTGACCTGTCATCTAGGAGAGGGAAGCATATTAGCCCATATCCCCAACTCTGAGAATTACTGCTCGAGAGAGAACAAATTGATACTTTCCAATAATTCCTGTCTAATATTTACTTAAAGTGGGTCCATTTTTATTGAGATCCATACAGTGCAATACTATCCAGATGTTGAAGGAGGTAGATCTGCTCCTTTTGATATGGAATCCTCTGTTAGAAACTGCTGAGTGAAAAAGCAAGGTGCAGAAAAGTGTGCATCATGGGCACCTTCCTCTGTAGACATACTAATAACTAACCTTGCTCCCAAATTACAATGAAACATGTTTCAGGCTCAGAAACAGCCAGACAGCCCATTCTGTAAGTTTACTAAGGTCCCAGCTCTTTGTCCTTTCAGAGAACCTTCATAAAGGCTTTAATCTAGGCAAGTATGACAGTATTCTACATGAGGTTTCATTTAACCTAGTAGAAGTTGAGTGACAGCACCCTATTTACTGTCCAAACTCAAGACAATTCCAAACACAGATATCATTCCAAAGGGTCTAGGTTGTTGATGCTGTTGGATTCTTACTCTCTGTTCATGTAAGAATGGGAGTGAGTACCTGCCTGGGCAGTCTGCACAGCTTGAACTCCAGTCATTTTTTTCAACCAAAAACCATTTCTTTATTTTTTTTAATGTTTATTCATTTTTGAAAGACAGAGACAGAGCAGAGATGGGGCAGAGAGAGAGAATGGGAGACAGAATCTGAAGCAGGCTCCAGGCTCTGAGCTGTCAGCACAGAGCCCAACACGGGGCTCGAACTCACGGACCGCGAGATCATGGCCTGAGCGGAAGTCAGACGTTCAACCAACTGAACCACCCAGGCGCCCCCAAAAACCATTTCTAATCAACAAGGTCTTTAGTGTTAAGCATAGGATTAGGTAGCTGAAGCCATTAGTTGCCAGGAGAGTGTGAACTTCCAACTCCAACCATCTACCCCTGGAAAGAATGTAATCCAGGTTAGCGTTCTTCAAAGGATTACTCCTCCCAAAAAGAAATGGTGGATATGTCTATCACAACACAGGCACAGATGTTTATGGAAGTTTCTGGGTTTTTTTAAAGACTGGCCAAAATCTGGAAATAATCCATATGTTTAACACCACGAGAATGGCTAAATTATCATATACAAACACAACTGGATACGGCATGGATACTGCGTAACTATGAGACAAAACAGATCACTGCTACATGCAGCAACATGGATGCCTATCATAGACAAGATGATGTAAGAAAGAATCCAGGCACAGAAGAGCACATATTGTACGGCTTTATGTGTGTCGTACTTCTAAAACAGGAGAATAAATTACATCGTTTTGGACATACCATCCTTTCGGATGTCAATTGAAGCTAACACTAACACTTACACCTGTATCACACCTTCTGCGTTGAAGGACCGAAATGTAAAATGGGGCTTCTATAACAACCACCAAACACAAGGTTGGTGTTCAGTAACACTTGTACTTTGAGGTAGATTTGACATCCATGTTTTCAAAGAATACGTCTACCATTTGAGCCACTTCCTCTTTACATTGTGGTTAACAACATCGAATTAAAACCAAACAACTGCTTTGAGAAATAGACCCTAAGTATGGAGGAGGCATTTTCTCCATGCCTTCCGTGAAGTGCTCTAGTTAATTTAAGGATTCTCATTCTCAAAATTCAGTTAATCCTGTTTGTGGGCATATGAATTAGTGTGGGAACATGTGATGAAATATTACTCATTCACAAAAAAGAATGAGATCTTGCCATTTGTGACAACATGGGTGGACCTAAAGGATGTTATCCTAAGCGAAATAAGTCAGACAGAGAAAGACAAATACCATATAATTTCACTTATATGTGGAATCTAAAAAACAAAACAAATGGGCAAACAAACGGATCCAGACTCTTGAATACAGAGAAGAAATTGGTGGTTGCCCGAGGGAAGGTGGGGCTCTGAGTGAAATAGAAAAAGGGGATTACAACTTCCAGTTATAAAATAACTGAAATAAACTATAATTCATAAATTAAACTATATAAAATTATACTAAAATATATAAAATATGTAAGTATTTCAATATATGATATATAGAATATTTATTTTAAACATAGAAAGTATTATTAAGCATAATTATTTCAATGTATGATATATAAAATATTTCTTTTAAGCACAGAAATAAACTATGATTTATAAAATAAAAATAAATAAGTAAGTCACGGGGATGGAAAGTACAGCATAGAAAGTATGGTCAATAATATTTTTAATAACATTGTATGGTGACGGTGGCCACAGTTACCATGGTGAATACTGAGTAACGTATAGAATTGTTGAATCAATATGTTGTGCACCTGATATTATTATATGTTAATTATACTTCAATAAAGTAAAAGGGCACCCAGCAGCCACTGGAAAACAGGATATGGAAAGGGTCCATGAGGGCTGACTTTGAACTATCACAAATTCAAAAGGACAGGAATGATGACTCTGTTAGCTGACAGAATTAGATAAATTTCCAAAGCTAGAGTATCTGGGTTAGTTGGGAAAGCGGAAGGGAGGGAGGCAGGGAGAGAGAAAGAGACAGCTTGCAAAAGCACTCAAGGAGGGAAGTGACATATACCTGGATTTGGAGTGATATTATATTAATCAATTCTTGATGATCTGTGTGGTAACCTGGAGAGATAATGAACTCACACACGCTCTAAGCTACATAGGAGCCCCTTAACCATCCCTCTCTGTCTGCCCAGGAAATGGTTAGGTAGGCTGGTTGAGAACAGGCGAGGTGACACTTCTGCTGAGGCAGATGATGAACTCTAAGACCTCCAGGTTTCTGGTTTTCATTTCTACGGAGACTCCCCAGCTAGGGGTGTTTGGGCGTAGATGTGGCAACATTGTGACTTCTGTGGCTTTCCTTACAAGGAAATTGTAATGTGTAGCGTTTTCTTTGAAAAGCTTACACTACATTTATCTGTCTTTCAGTTATGATAGGTTAAGTTTTGGTACCGTCCTGTTTGGGAAAATCCGTTGGAAACGTTGTCTTCCTTTACGTCCCGAAAGTGCCCTGATGTTGGAAAAATTGACCCTAAGATAAGAGAACCCACCAGACTGAGATTGCTTACAATTTTCTTACTAACCTGGCTTATTCTCCTAATGCATTTGGAAAGACAAAATTTACCTGTGTTTTTTTTTTCCTTTTCCTTTGCTAATCTTATGAAGAAACATGTATTTCACGTCATAGCATCACTGCAGTGGAAGGGGAATTTTTCTATCTGAGATACTGCTCATCAGCATCTGAGCACGATAGTGAAAAAAACACCATAAAATGGTACAAGAGCAGTGGATCACATGGACGCATTGAGCTAAACTCAAGCAGTTCCCCCAGAATTACTTTGCACGATTATGTTTTGGAGTTTTGGCCAGTTGAGTTGGAGGACAGTGGATCTTACTTTTTCCAAATGGGGTGAGTATAGCTTCTCTTTGTGTTAGTATGTTTCGTAGCACCCCTAGACTTAGCTCAGCCAGTCACATATACAGCAGTCTGAAAGAATGATCCATGCATTTATTCCCCCCTACTCTTCTTCCAGCATGCGATCAATACTTCATCATTGGAAAATTAAATTAAATATTGCCCTTGTGTCTATCTTCTTAATGATCTTAATGAAAGATTCCCTTAATACTTCTTTCAGGGGATCCTTACCAAAGGTAAGTAGGTATCAGATGAAATTCATTTTAAAACTCAACTGTTCCTGTTGTCTAGAGTTGCTGGCCAAATCGACTAATTGGTGAAGCTCCATAATGAACATGCAGTGAAGGGGGTGGCCTCAGCTTCCTGGGTGATATCCGCAGGCTGAGGAGAGGGATTGGAATTGATACAGACACATCCTAGTTCAGTGTTTCGGGGTCTGTTGGGGACAAGGCAGTAGTGTTCATGACGAGTGTGTGGGTTTTGCAGCCAATCACAGCCAGCGGCAGGGGGAAAGGCAGTGCGGAAAGGGCTTTGCACAGCCTTTGCAGGCCAGACCGCTCCAGTCTACGCCAGGACGCTCCTCATCAAGAGTCCTAAGTTCTATGAAATGAGAGCAACCGCTGCGTCAGTGATTATCACTGAGCTGGGTTCTCTTTATACAGTATTTGGTGAGGTGGGAAGGAGTAACTTGGACAAGCAGGGCTCTATGTGATGGATTAGTAGTGTCGGTGACATAGTGTTCATCTGGCACATTTGTGATGTAGTGTGCGTACTTGCGTAGGTGTGTATGTATACGTATGTTTCTATGGAGATGTGAGACTGACCTGTGGAAGATAGCTCAGGGCCAGGTGAGTCGTGGTGGTGTGCTGGCAGATGTAGTCGATTTCTGGGGTGGGTCCCGATCATCGTCAACAGTGCTGTTGAGAGCGCAGTGAGATATCACAGTGAAACCTTGTTATCGCTCCTGTGGTTTTACACAAAATGAGGTCATTTGGGTTTGTTTTTATGCATAGGAACTCCCAGGAGTCAGAGAGAACATTTGAGAACTCTTTCTGTTGTTTGTTTTGACCAGCAGTGGATTTTATGTGACCCTTTAAGAGAGATGATTCCAGAAATGGATCACAACTGCGTCTTCTCACACTAACGTAGAATGAATATTCACAAATGGGGTAAAAAAAAAATCTCCTTAATCCTGACGGAATAAAGGCATGATGGAAGGAAGCATTCCAGACTGGACAGAAGGAGCACATGGAGGGGAAGAGACAGTTACCTACAAATGTCGCTTGGAGACAGGGAGGGAAAGCATTAACTGTCTTTCTGATATGGAAGGTGGGGAACACAGCCTGGGTTAGGAAGGAAAATTGGAATAGTCCAACGGATAGGCTGTCAGAGACGTGTGGAGAACCAGGAAGAGGGTGCAAGAGGCCAGGAACAATGAGGTGACTCAGGGGCTGTGGTGACGAACATTAAAGGGTATTTGAGGCTGACGAATAACATGAGACAAAAGTGATGGTATGAGGAACAGCCTCGACAATCGTTTTGAAAATAAATGGGAACCCACACAGGTTGTTTGGACACCTAGAGGCATTGAAGATGGGGGCTTTTTCAAATATGGTGCACTGGTTTGCCTCAGAGGGATGTGTGTGTGTGTGTGTGTGTGTGTGTGTGTGTGTGTGCACATGCGTGAGTGAGCCTTTGGAATTTTGTGTGGAATCCTTCAAAGACCAGATTCCATCCCTGGAATCCTCCTCCCCACCCCACCCCCCTTAGAACCATAATCCTTTCATTTCTAGGGAGTCTTCTGCTAGTAATCAAATGCTTCTGGAGACTGATACTTTAATCCTAAAGTCAGATAAAATGTTAAGGGGGAAAATCCACCAAGAAGGGAGGGGACACAGGAGAGAGGGGGTTTTCAGTGGTAGAGGGGAGGACATGAAGACAGAGGAAAAAAGCACATGCAAATCATGTCTCAATCATGTTCTGGATTGACAAACAGCAAGCTTGGCTTGGTAAGGGGCTTCAGAAGAATGGCCCAGAGCTTTTCAAGTCCCTTCCTGTGTGGCAGAAGTAGCTCCGCAACCAGGAAGGGATGGCCTTGTATGAGAACACAGATGATCACAGCTTTGGGTCAGTTGGCCTCAGCTTCACACCATCCTTTGAGTTCCTCTAGCAAGGCCGGCATCTGCCTGTTTTCTGGCACTCACAGTGTGGTGGCGGGGACACGGAAGCATTCCACCAGTCGGGACTTCCTGAGTGTTAGGAATTGAGCATTGCAGAGGTAGAAAACAACATGGCCTGATAAGATGGAAATATGCATGCACTATCTTCCTCGTAAGTGACGGGATAGAAATATCTGGAAATAGGTCTCTGTTCAGCTCAGTGGGGCTGAAGTAGGGGAAACAGTAGACACACTTGAGAAGAAGATGATACCAACGGGATTCCGAATCCATCTCAAGGGCCAGGTAGCTCTATTATGTTCCATGGCCATTGACCTACTGCTTTTAACCTTCAGGACAAGCCTGTCAGCCCACCCATCACTTCCCTCCCAGTCCTGGTCAATCTTGTCTGAATGCATACCCAAAGGAGGGGTCAGAGTCACATCGACTGTGAAAGCATAGTATTGGGCAGTGCAGTCCTGTCCTTGAGGGCCGAGCTGATGTGTGTTTGCATCCTGGCCCTGTTGCCACATGAAGTTTAGCTTTCTTATCACAAGTAAGGGAAATAGCCATCTCCATTGTACATATTCAGGACAATCCCTGGAACTCAGTGAGTGCTAGTCTTCCTCCCATGCTACCACAGATGTAAGAGTCGGGGCTGTAAGAGCCTGTGGTCGGTACAAGCGTGTCACACACACAGGACAATTTAACACACGTCTGTTGTATTTAGTACGTGGATCCCTGTAGTTCAGTTTAAACAAACATCAGGTTGCAAACATTTCCTTTCTTAGAAGCTCCTTTCTAGGGGCACCTGGGTGGCTCAGTCAGTTAAGTGTCCAACTCTTGATTTCAACTCAAGTCATGATCTCACAGGTTCATGGGTTCGAGCCCTATCAGGCTCTGCACTGATAGCGAGGAGTCTGCTTGGGATTCATTCTCTCTCTCTCTCTCTCTCTCTCTCTCTCTCTCTCTCTCTCTCTCCCTCTCTGTCTCTCTCTTTCTCTGTCTGTATCTCTGTCTCTCTCCCCCTCCCCTGCTCTCTCTGTCTCTCTTAAAATAAGTAAACTTAAAAAAAAAGGAGATCCTTTATAAAAACATGGTTAAAGTTGTTTCCTCTTCCAGATTACTAATTTTTAATCAGAAGGAACAACAACAATAAAACTATTCAAACTAACTTTTGCTCAGTAAGGCACATAAAGTGCTACTACAGCTACGGTGAGGGCAGGCGCTCCAGACCTGGGTTTACTCAACAGTAAGAGAAAAGGATTGGAAGAAACAGCCCAGAGAAATATAAAACCCAATGCATATATACAAACTTCCAGAAAACAAGTTCAGGAGTTTGTTTGTGGACCTCAGGAAACCAATGCCACTGTCCCATCCTGGGTTAAGAATCTTTGAACTTGTCCATCTCCAAAGCTCATGGAAGTTTTAAACATTTCTGTTCTGGTATCTATAATATATGGTATGCAATAGGGTGTTTGTGTGTGGGTGTGTGTGGGTGTGTGTGTGTGTGTGTGTGTGTGTGTGTGTAGGGCCGCTCAGGTACTTCTCTTTCCCCGCCCCTCGCCTCTGTCCCATGACAATTGTTACATTTCTTGCTGCACAGGGCCAAAACGGGGCAGGGTCTGGGCGTCAATGAATAAGTCTCTTTATCCAATAATAAGGAAAGAATTTCATTGGCTACTGAAAGGTGGTATTTGCAAAGTCTCTGTACTAATAAAATATCTTTAAACCTTTATTTCATAGAAATGATACTCGTAAATGGAAATTAAATGTCATTGGAAGAAGTAAAGGCAGCTGTTTTGTTGAAAAACTACTAACTAGTAAAACTGTAGAAGTTCAGAAATCTTTGCACGTAGCCTGTAAACATGACTACTTTCAACCATTGGCCAATAGAACTTCACTGTATAAGGTAATGCTTTTAAAATATTTTAACTTAAGACTTGAGGAAAGGGGCGCCTGGGTGGCTCAGTTAGTCACCAGCTCTCGTTTTCGGCTCAGGTCATGGTCTCACGGGTTCGTGAGTTCGAGCCACACAGCAGGCTCTGCACCACCAGTGCAGATTCTCTCTCTCTCCCTCTCTCTCTGCCCCTCCTGTGTGCTGCACACTCTCTCTCTCTCTCAAAATAAAGAAATAAACTTAAAAATAAAAGACTTGAGGAAACAAAGGACAAAATTCCAAAGTAAGAATCTGATGGCTGTGGAGCATTTTGGTCTCATCACATGTAGGTCGCATGACCCCCCACCACACACACAGCTTAGCCGACCCCTTTGAGCCAGGTGCCAGGCGGGGTGGCTAAAATGAGCCCCTGCCCCATCCGAACTGTTCAGTGAACATAACACTTCCTTCTTCCTTGCCCTTCCTTCCTTGCCCTTCTGTTTTGGTAAATTGATTTTTAAGATTGCTAGCTAGCTTTGGGGTGCCTGGGTGGCGCAGTCGGTTAAGCGTCCGACTTCAGCCAGGCAGGTCACGATCTCACGGTCTGTGAGTTCGAGCCCCGCGTCAGGCTCTGGGCTGATGGCTCAGAGCCTGGAGCCTGTTTCCGATTCTGTGTCTCCCTCTCTCTCTGCCCCTCCCCCGTTCATGCTCTGTCTCTCTCTGTCCCAAAAATAAATAAACGTTGAAAAAAAAATTAAAAAAAATTAAAAAAGATTGCTAGCTAGCTTAAGGATTTGTATTTTCTCTTGCCATGTATATTTACATTTTTAAATTCCATTGTATATACTTTTCCCCCTAAACATACGAGTTCCTTTTGTGAAATTGGAATATGGAAAAATGGACAATGAAGTTAGCAGAACTCACTCATAATCCCACCAGCCAGAGACTTTAGGGTTTGTGTGTGTGTGTGTGTGTGTGTGTGTGTGTTAACATCTACTTTTATTTTTATTTTTTAAATGTTCATTTATTTTGAGAAAGAGAAAATGGGGGAGGGGCAGAAGGAGAGAGGGAGAGAGAGAATACCAAGCAGGCTCCATGCTGTCAGCACAGAGCCCGACTCAGGGCTCGAACTCATGAACTGTGAGATCATGAGCTGAGGCCAAAATCAAGAGTCGGAGGCTTAACTGACTGAGCCACCCAGGAGCCCCGACATCTACTTTTAAAAAGTGGTATTTTAAAAAAACCTTTTAAAATATAAAAAGTGGTATTTTATGCCTGGATTTTTCCTTTATCCTCTACAAATTATGTTGTGATTATTCCCCTGTGTCTTTAAACATTCTTCCAAATCTGGGATTCCATTGTGCTTTATACTTGCATCTAATTAATCCCCTGGTATTAGACATTTGTTAGTTTCCTACTTTCCACTATTGTTTATAAGGCTAGAATAAATATCATTCCTGTAACTGTTAGGGTGTATGTACAATTTTATTGTTTAATCGCATCCCTAAAAGTAGCATAATTGGATCAATGGCCATGAGCACATTTACAGCTTTTGCTGTGCATTAGCTGGCTCCTCTCTGGGGAGCTATGCTAGTTCAAAACGCTTTTTTCAACCACCACTACCACACCAAGAAGTCGTACCTTTAGAACATTTAGAAATATGACATGCAGAAGTTCTGTAATTTTTAGTGTTTTTTTCCCCATTTCTTTTCTTAATAATAAATTAAACATTTTTATATCTTTATTGCATCTCAGTATTATTTCTTTTGTGGATTGCCTATGTTCTTCAGCGGGTATAACTTGAATTGTAGGAGCTCTTGTAGACAGTACTGTGGATATTATATATGCAGTCACATATGTGTTACATACAAATGTACAGTATGCACATGCATAATATACACATGCATAATATACATACATGCAGACACATAACACAAATTATATTATTTCTATAGAACAAATGTGACTCTGTCATGGAAGTTGTTTTTTGGTTTTTTTTTTTTTTTTTTTACATTTTTATTTATTTTTGAGAGACAGATAGAGACAGAGCACAAGTCGGGGAGGGGCAGAGAGAGAGAGGGAGACACAGAATCCGAACAGGCTCCAGGTTCTGAGCTGTGAGCACACAGCCTGAGGCGGGGCTTGAACTCACAAACTGTGAGATCATGACCTGAGCCGAAGTCGGACGCTTAACCGACTGAGCCACCCAGGCACCCCTGTCATGGAAGTTTTAATGAGCTGTATGGGAGAGTGATCCAGACAGAAGCCCTTGGGAAAGTTGAAGCCACAGATGATTTCCTAGAAACTTCTGTTTGCATATTTTGCTTGACCACTGTTTACTTGTGAGTTTTCAAGGAGAGCTCTTACCCACATGTTTTCCAAACGTCTGAGTTAGTCCTGAGTTCACTTGATTCTATTTCCTGTCAAGTGTGCAAATACTTGACAATACATATAAATTTGTAAGGTTTCATGCACTAGGTTTTAAGAAATGTCACCATGCGGATGTTTAAATGTAGAAAGGAGATCTATGAGAGGTTGTTTTTAGCTAGATGATTAACCACTTCAATATTCTCAGCCTGTTTAGAGATTGAGGGGAGGAGCGCAAGGAAGCTAAATCAGTAAACAACTGATTAGAAGTGAAAACGAAGAGATATTGATATTTTAACGTGCCTTCAAAAACACAGTTTGGGTTTATAAAAATTTGACATACACAGAAACAATTTACTGAGTTGAGGGACACATGTGGGTGCTTCACAAACCCATTCCTAGTGACCTCTGGGCCTGGCCCCAGTTGCTGCCGGCTTTGGCAAGTTCGAGAGAAGTATGTGCGCAGTACGTTCTTCTTGTTGGCGTTTGCAGGAACAGCATCACATAGTCAAGGTTAGCAGTGTCGTTCCTCTTCTCCGTATCTGGACCTTAGATTGCTTCAGAACCTTTCCTATGGGTGACCGATGGCTCGATTGAAGAAGGTGGCTTTTTTCCTATTATTCATTCCTGTGACCCGTATGGAAATTTGTGACGGAGAGACATGTTTGTGTGTGCCTACGTATTTGAATATTCTTGATACATTTCTGATCAGTCCACTGTCTTCTGTGGAAGACATCAAGGGGGGTGGGTAGTCAGTTAGGTACTCAGGTCTCTGCATGATTCTGCTCCTATCTCCACTACCCCTACCACGGGTGTTCCTGAGTACATGGGTTAGATTAAAAGTGTTACGAATGCAGAAAGGTTTCACCCAAGCAGGGATTTTGTTGTTGTTTAGTTTTCTCTATCTCCTCCTTGTGCTCCATTCTTCCACCCTGCCCTCCCTCCATTCTCCCTCTCCCTCTCTCTTTACCCCTTCCCCTCTTTGTGTGTAAAAGAGCGATCAAAAGAAAATGATGGAAGCAGCTATAGTTCCCCCTATAATCTACTTCCCAGCATGTATTAATAACCGTAATAATAACAGGTAATGGGACCGTGTTTCATTGTTGCTGTACAGGCAATGCCAAATCACTGGGATATCGCCTCAGAAATTTCTACCTTTCGTCCTGTTTCCCTTTTTCTATGAAAGTATTTCTAAAATTTGAATCAATGTAATATGATACTGCTTTTACTTAAAATATTTTAACTTGATTTTTTTTCACAAAACAGAACTGTAAGAAGATAAACAATGGTACAAACCCAGTTTTACAGAAGAATGCAGAGTTTAAAGATCAGGGATATTACACCTGTGTGTTTTCCATCCCTCATAATGGAAAACTATTTAATGTCACCAAAACCATCAACGTAACAATCGTTGGAGGTAAGAGGAATGTTAGAATTGGAAAGAAAGAAATGTGTCTTATGAAACAGAGTTTTCTTTCTTCTAACCCAGCACAGGAATCCAGAGGCAACTTATTTGGAGTCGTGACCGCATCACTAGCTCAAATATAGGGTCAAATAATTTGGGCGTCACTCACCACCCTGGAGAGATTGGTGGGGGGGGGGGGGGGAAAGTAAATGACTTGTATGTAGTAGAATGTATCCCTCTTATTTTGTATTCGAGTAATTTGTGGGTTTTTTGTTGTTCAGTGTATGCTTTCACTCAACAGGTTATTTATTGAGGGTGCCTGTATTCAATAAACTGTACTGAGCATCAGGAGGTAAAGGAAGCAGGGAAATAAGCAATGAAGTGAGTTCTATACTATTCTTGAGGAATAGTCAGGAGAGGTGATAAGCCACATAGAAGTACCTAGTGTATGAAACCGGACACATCTGTGTGATGTTAGGGTGCAGAAGGAGCCCAGAGATAGATCGGAGTCAGGAGACTCTGAGCTGAGTTTAGAGGTGGGACATGACGGATGAGGAGGAAAGCACACTGGGGACAGGGTACTTGGGGTTTCCAATGATATACTTCAAGTTTTAAAATTGTTTTTAAGGTTTATTTATTTTTGAGAGAGAGAGACAGAGCGTGAGCGGTGGAGGGGCAGAGAGAGAGGCGGGGAGACGCAGAATCAGAAGCTGGCTCTAGGCCCCAAGCTGTCAGCACGGAGCCCGACGCGGGGCTTGAACTCACAAACTGTGAGATCATGACCTGGGCTGAGGTCAGACGCTTAACCGGCTGAACCACACAGGCGCCCCGGTATCCTTCAAGGTTTAGCAGATGGCATACTGTTTTAAAGACGTCCTGTCCGACAGATACCCTTTGACACTACCTCTTCCCCGGGGGGAAGAAAATGGATCCGGAGAAAGATAAGCAATGGCAATTTTCAGCAAAATCACCCCTTGCCCCCTTGTCCTTGAATCGACTCATGTTCCTCCATACTCTCAAGGCCGAGAGTTCCTTCTTTCTCTGGGGGCGTCCCAGGTCCCGCTGTCCACTTATAGCAATTCCAGGCTCGCCCAGAGACTCTGAACCCCAGAGGAACCAAATCTGACTCACCTGGGCTTTCACTTTGCGAGTTTCATCCTCCAGTTCTCACCCACACATTCACCCCTCCCGTCTCAACCCTTCACTCTTCAGCATCACACTTTCTGAGAGAGCTCAGGTAGGTGAGGGCGCTGCGGGAGAGCTCCTGGGTTGCCTTTTACTCCTTGTCCTCAGGCATCGTGTTTGCTGAGGACAGGTATGTCCCAGGAAGGCTGCTCTGGAGGTTACTTGTAAATGCCCTAGGAGTGCCAGATGTGCTAGAAGGGAGAGTCTAGGTCATGAGGAAAGTTGCCAGTGCTGATCAGAAGAGTAACGAGAACTTGACAACAGCAATTTCAATGTATGACCACAGGCACTCTCAGTGTTGTGCAGCTATCAGCCGTCCTAGGTTGTAGGAGAGCATTCAGTGGGAGGCTGCTAGGGGAAGTATTTACTTTTGAAACATTACTAGAGGGAGGCTGGGGTGGAGAGTATTATGTACCTCTGATCAAGGTCAGAAGCCACTCGGGAACAGAAGTAGAGCTGAGCCCACACATGTGAACACCTTGCAGGGCCAGGACTAAGGTGAGGCAAGTGAGGTATCGAGAGCACAGAACTGAAGGTGTGCTTCCTTTAGTGTCTATGAGGGGAGGGTTGGCACCTGAAAGAGAGTGTCTTGCCAAAGCACGGATAGAGACCCTGTGCCCAATAAATCCATCTTCGAGGGGTTGAGAAGGGCAGACAGAAGGAAGAAAGAGTAGAAAGGCACGTCCCCGTGACTTTGCATCTAAATCCTACAGATGCGGTTGTCCCTCCTGGATGAACATTTTCCTCTGCCACATAGCTGCAGAAGCCACGGATTTGAAGGAAACCAAATTTAGTGTGTTCCCTCCAGTTACATTAGCTTTGCATTGATGGAAAGTGAAACAAACAATATTAGCTGCAACCATTACTTAATGAAAATATGACATAGTGATGACTATTTAGAATTTTTGTTACATGGTATAAGCATATTGCAACAAAAACTTGTCTTAGAGAAGCTCAGTGCAACGCTGAAACATTTTCCTTTTCTTTTTTTCACTTTTAGATCGCAGTAAAATAATTCCTGTTCTTCTTGGACCAAAGCTTAACCGTGTGAAGGTGGAATTAGGTATATGTTGACATACATGTATTCCACATCTAGGAATGGGGTGCATAATTGAGTCTTCCAAGGCTAAATGTGATTCATGATTCACCAATATTGTGTGTGCATAACACATACCAGATTTAGTGAGGAAAGTTAGAAAAGCAGGGAAAGTATGCCATTGTGTGAATGTTGCCCTTTTTAGGCTGATGAAAATGAACAGTATGTTGAAAACATTATAGAACTGCCTGTGGTTTTTACATAGGGTTTTGGTCACCCCATTGTGGCTTTTCTCTAATAGTCTTTATGGTTATTTTTAAAGACGAAAACCCTATAAGAGAGCACTCTGGAGAAATGCCTCAGACTTATCCTGTGTTCTGAATATTTGACTGATTAATCAATGGACTTTGAATCAATGGACTTAATTGACCATCCAGACAGGTCTTGATGAAATCAACATGTCCAGTTGAGTAATTCCTTTCCATAAGGGAAGGAGGGAAGGAAAAGGAGAAATTCACGTATACTAAATCATGTTTTGTATTAGGTGTTTGAAATATATTCTTTTTAAAAATGTTTATTCATTTTTGAGAGACAGAGACAGAATGTGAGTGGGGGAGGGGCAGAGAGAGAGGGAGACACAGAATCCGAGGCAGGCTCCAGGCTCTGGGCTGTCAGCATAGAGCCGATGTGGGGTTGAACCCACAGACCCGAGATCATGACCTGAGCTGAACTCGGACGCTTAACAGACTGAGCCACCCAGGCGTCCAGAAAAACATTCTTGAATTCAATCCTCCAAAAAACTCCAAGGGATATTATTCCCATCTAATGGGTTAAATGACCAAAGCCCAGAAGGGTTCAGAAATCTGTCTAAAGTTAAACCAATAAAAAAGTGGTGAAGCTGGGGTTCAAGTTTCTGTTGACTGTTTCCTAAGCCCACACCTTTGGACCACCACCGCCTGTCACAATCATTTGTGGGACCACAGATGTCCAGCGTAGCTTAGATACTTTGCCGTTTGTATTTGTGGATTGCCTGCTTTTTATTTTTATTGATTCCTGAACTTAGCTTTGTTATTTCTTTCGTCTCATTTTGGGCTTAATTTGCACCTCAATTTTCATTTGTTGACATGGAGACATAGATAATTGATTTCAATTATCGTCTCTTGTAGCACATGCATTTTAAGCTCTACAATTCCCTCTAATCGCTACTGTAGCTGTTTCTAACAAATACAGGTATGCTGTGTTTTCATTACTATTTGGTTCAAACATTAAAAAAAACAAAAAACACTTCCCTTGTGATTTCTTCTCTCATCTATGGATAATTTGTTCTTTTTAACTTCCAAACAGTTGGAGGATTTTCTAGTTTTTGTGTTGTTGTTGTTATTGATATCCAGTTTAGTTTCATACTGGTCCAAGATTGTATTCTGTATCATTTCAGTCTGATGAAATTTGTAGTAACTTGCTTAAGGAACAGAATGTGGCGCCTTGATGAATGTTCCCAGTGTGTTTGAAACAAATGTGCATTCTGCAGGTTTCGGTTTTATCATTCTGTAAATACCGATCATGTGAAGTTAGCTAATGGCATTGTCCAAATCATGTATATTGTAACCAATCTTTGATGTGTTTTCTTTATCTGTTAAAGAAAGAGATGTTAACATCTGCATCTACGATGGTTAATTTGTCTCTGTACCCTTTTGTTCAATCTTTGCTTTATACATGCTGAGGTTATCTTATGGGCACATACGTACTGATGCCTGTTGAACTGACACTTTAACATTATAAAATTTCTCTCTTTATCTATCATGTTACTTCTTTCCTAAATGCCTACTTTCTCTAGTAATAGACAGCCATAGCAGTTTTCTTTTGTTTGGGATTGGCATGTTTTATCTTTTTTTTTATATCCTTTTAACGTTTCTTTGTAAATCAATTACACATGCACTGTATTTCACGTCAACTATATATATTTGGATCTTTTTTGAAATCCAGTCTGTATAGTGTCTAGTCCGTTGACATTTAAAACATTTTTTTTAATTTTTTTTTCAACGTTTATTTATTTTTGGGACAGGGAGAGACAGAGCATGAACGGGGGAGGGTCAGAGAGAGAGGGAGACACAGAATCGGAAACAGGCTCCAGGCTCTGAGCCATCAGCCCAGAGCCTGATGCGGGGCTCGAACTCACGGACCGCGAGATCGTGACCTGGTTGAAGTCGGACGCTTAACCGACTGCGCCACCCAGGCGCCCCTAAAACATTTTTTTTAATGTTCATTCATTTTTGAGAGACAGAGAGGCAGTGAGTGGGGCGGGGGGGCTGTAGAGAGAGAGGGAGACACAGAATCTGAAGCAGGCTCCAGGCTCTGAGCTGTCAGCACAGAGCCCTTTGCGGGGCCCCAGCCCACAAACCGTGAGATCATGACCTGAGTCATGTGCCTAACTGAGCCATCCCGGCGCCCCTCAGTCCATTTATATTTAATGATGGTGATCCTGTGAAGCCTCTTATCTTGCTATGTGTTTGTTAGTTGCCTTATGTGTTATTTGTTCCTGTTATTCCTCCCTTCCTTTTGGATTCATAAATTATTTTTCCTTTCTTTCATTTAATATGATTTGTTTTCTTTCTAGTTATACCTTTTTGTGTCCTTCATTAAGTTGTGCTAGAGGGGCGCCTGGGTGGCTCAGTCAGTTGAGCGTCCAACGAGATCAGGTCATGATCTCGCGGTCTGTGAGTTCGAGCCCCGCGTCGGGCTCTGTGCTGACAGCTCAGAGCCTGGAGCCTGTTTCGGATTCTGTGTCTCCCTCTCTTTCTGCCCCTCCCCCGCTCATGCTCTGTGTGTCTCTCTGTCTCTCTGTCAAAAATAAATAAACATCAAAAAAAAAAGTTGTGCTAGAGACTTGTATTTCCTTTGTCTTCTTACCTCACTTTGTGCTATTAGTTTACGTATTTCCCTACTGCATATGTGATAAAACTCACAATAGATTGGCACTGTTATTGCTTTAGGTGGCCAAAATTCTTTTATATTTACTGAGATACTTGTATTTTCTTGTACTCTTCATTTGTTCATGTAGTGCCTTGCTTTCGTCTGGGATAATTTTTTGTGAGTCTGAAACCTTTCCTTTGGCATTCCCTGCAGGGAGGTTATGGGGTGGGGTGGGGCATGCAAGGACTTCAGTCCTGTCTTTGTTGTACATCTCTTCCCGGAAGTGGGACTTCCTCCCCTAAGTACTGTGAGACTGTAGGAGAGACCCTTGAGCCTTTGCAGCCTCCTGTGTGTTGTCCAAGCCCTCGGCAATAATTCTGCAAGCCCGTGTGGCTGTCAGAATTTCCCCTGGGCTCTCTTTTCTCTGGGAGATTCCCCTGGTGCTGTACAAACCCAAAGTAATTTCTCCAAAGAATAAGAGGGCCGGCTATCTCAGCTCCTCCTGGAAGGGCTTCTTCCTGGCTGCGTTTTTAGCCCGGCTCTTTCTCTTTGTTTTCCCTGGACTTTAATGTCTTTCATTGCTGGCTAACTTAATTTTGTGTGATTTACCCATTTTGTTTTTCTAGAAGTTGCCGTGGGAGTGTTGCCCCGACACTACCTACTAAACTGTATGTTGAAAAGAAGGCCCACTCGCCACTCTAAGTTTTAATAATTTATTTAAACATAGACATTTGAAGCGAAACCAACTCATAGGCTATGGATGACTTAAAATTGCTACCTAATTTCTCTGCTTTATACATGTTTTAAAATTTAAAAACCAAGCCTATCTTTTTCTTTCTGAGAGGTAGCACTACATTAGCTCTATGTATTAAGTTAATATATGTTGATTATATTAATTTTATACCTTTGGGAAATCTGAGTCTGTAAGATCAGAATATTGGTTGTCAACTTTTACGTAGGAAAAGATGTAAACCTCAATTGCTCTGCTTTGGCGAATGAAAAGGATCAGATTTATTGGAACTTGTGGGATGAAAATGGAAAGGAGCCCAATGTACATGAAGAGAACGTAAAAAAAAATAGGTACGTATATGTGATGTATTATGTATCATGATATATACAAATCACATTGTATCATAGATCCATGCTATAAAAAACACCAGAGTCCTGAATGGCTGATTGGGTGTTTGAGGTAAGTTTAAATTTTAATTTATAATTTACATATTTTATAATGATAATTACCATGCGCTAGGCTGATGGATTATGCAGAAATCTATTGCTAAGGTCTAAACTAGAAAAAGAAGGTCAGTGAAGTTTTTTAACATCGCCTTACTAAAAGTAGCTTTTGGTTGGTCAGGATCTGATAGGGATGGGCAATTTACTTAAGCATCTGATAAAAGAGGGATTACCTAGGCCATAGTTTTTTGGATTTTAAAAATTGTGCTAAGCCTGTGGTCGTTTGAGTGTTTTTGAATGACTTTGGGTCATTAATCGGTATTTTACTGATATACTCAGGTGGTAGAGAGTAGGGATCCCAAGGTATCTGTTACCTTAGCTGCACTTTTGCGGACTTTTTTCTGCTTTTTACACTTAAAAAAATTCTTTGATGTCATGGCAACAACTCCTGATTCTTGCTAACACTTTGTCTGCAAGCTCCTTATGGTGCAAGGTCTGTCCGCTTGCTTCTAGTAGGCACGTGACTAGTAACTCAGCTGAATTGCAGGGCTGTCTTGCCATTGTGTCTTTATCCTCAGCATCGAACCTCTCCTGGAGTTCTGCATTTCCCCCTTCTAGCGATCTGTTGCTCCTGTTTGGAGGGATAGAAGACCAACTCACCAAACTATCTGCAATGGAGCTCAAACTAAGCTAAGAGTAAGGTGGTCTTTCTTTAGAGTTATGCCTGTGCTTTTCCTGTCGTCTGTCTTGGCTTCTCACTGGCCTTTTGTGCCTTACTTCGGGATTTTTCACTGATATGAGATAGTTGCTATTTCTGGATTGGTGACTTCTTTACAGAATCATGTTCAAATTATATTTGACACGGTTGGAGGCGACAGAGGGTGCCATGTCCCAAGAATAGAGGCACCTGCTTCTAGGGGCGCGGCAGGTGAGTGAGCGCACCTGGGGAGCGCTGGTTGACATGGTGCTTTCACAGCCTGTCATTGACGGGGAAGCAGATGTCATGAGCAGTTGCCTTGCATCGACGACAGGACAACTTGAATCTTTTAAGAAGAGAAAGACAGCTCGCTGCTAATGGTTGTCTACGTCATTTTCTGACATGTGCTGAACAGCTTAATTGGTATTTTTCATATGCCTGCAGGTGCATCTGACAATAGTGTCATTCTTCAGTTTGTTTTCGATGCTGAACAAAATAAAAGCGATCTTCAGGATTGCAGGGACAAGCTTGATAGGAATCTGTATCTCTGCTGAACTATTTGCAGCTTTATCACAATCGGTGGAGACCTCCCCATGGGAAGAACGCTAAGCCGTTGGGCGAGGAGAAATAGGGGAAAATCATTGAGAGAGAACTTAACATCATTACCTTCCAGACATTTTTATTCTGGGCGGTTCACAGGGTCGTCCCCAGGTGGTCTCAGGAGGGCTGTTTCTGTCCACCCTGATGCTCCCCGGAGGAGCAGAGGTTTGTGGTGGCCCACACTCTGAGGACCCACCAGAAAGAGAAGGTTCCATGGAGCCAACAGAGCCACTGCCTTTGAGTATTTGCGCATATGAATTCCTCCCTCATGAGCAATGTTGCTGGCAATGAGCAAAGCCTGTCACTGAATTGTTTCTTCTTTTACAGGGCTCTGGACGGCAAATTGTATGTGTCAAGAATGTTGAAAATTGAGAATATTAATGCAAAAAATCTAAAATTTTCATATAATTGCACTGTGGCCAGCGAGGGAGGCACAGACACCATAAACTTCGTCTTGTTGAAAAAAGGTATGAGCAAGTTTTACTTTGGAAGTTTGTGGAAGCTTAGAAAGTTGCTGCTGAGGGACACCTCAAAGATCACCACTCCCTTCATTTTACACCCCAGGAAGCAAGCTCCCAAGAGGTGAAATTATCTGCCTTGTGTCACAAGTATTCAGGCTAAACTGGGGCTCAGTCCCCTGCCGGAGTCCCCTGTGCATTGATTTCATGCAGAAAATGAAAATGCAAAACTCTTATCCTTTGCTCTCGATCAGATTGCAGTCCTAGATAAGCACCAGGGGCCCAAGAGAGCGGAGCAGATATAGCCTGGAGACAGAGATGTAGCTGAGTGTCATGGGGGAGGCAGTCATGGCAGCCCTCACGTAACCATAACGATGAGAGGCACGCTTGCAGCTCAGTGTAGGATGAGGCCAATGATACTAGGTACTGCGGCCTCCAGCCTACCTTAGCTGGGCACTGGGCACAGGGGGCCCTTGCGTGTGCTCATGCACTCAACCAAGATTAGCTGAGGCTTCCCCTCTTGGACCAGTCCCTGGATCTGGCAGGTGGACAGTTGATGGCTCAAATCTGCGGACTCGTAAAATTTTTCACTGCCTACCTGATGGAACGTCCCAGAGTCACCCCCCTCCATCCTCCACCAGTACAATACAACCCAGGGCCATTGGCCCAATAGCTGCTCAGAAAAGGGTTCATATTATGGATGAAGACACTAAGAATGAAGGGAATCAGTGACTTTCCCTAGGACACAAACTAAGTGACGGAGCCAGGCTGGGAGCCCAGACGAGCTCAAGTCAGCACTTGCTCTCTCAAGACTGTGTACTTCCATTTATGTTCTCAACATACCAGCTGAGATGTATGTTTGGGTCCCTGGACATTTCACCCTGGTATCTTATCATCCTTGCCTTCCCCAAGTAGGGACAGGCTATATCACAATGCTTTCCATTCAGGTCTCTGAATATCCTTTTACACATTTTTATTCTTTAAAAATCAGAGTAGAAAGGTCAGCACTCCAGACTAAAGGCAGGAATGTGGACTAAGTGAATGGAATGTGTTGGATAGACAACTGGGGTTAGTGCTAAATATAAAAACTGACAACTATGAGGTAAGATGGTGGGAGACACTGGTAAACCATCTTTCATTAATTATTTCCATTTTCTTTTCCTCTCTAGAAGATATGGCTGATATCCCAGGCTACATCTTCACCAGAGGAATGATTGTGGCTGTTTTGATCTCAGTGGTAGTTGTGTGCCTAGTGATAATGGGTGTCATTTATAGAGTTGACTTGGCTCTATTTTATAGACATTTCATGAGAAAAGATGAAACATTAACAGGTAATGAATATCACAATGCTGGATTTTCTTATCTTCTTACTTCATTAAGAAACCAAATAAAGAGGGGCACCTGGGTGGCTCAGTCAGTTAAGTGTCTGACTTCGGCTCAGGTCATGATCTCACGGTTCGTGGGTTCAAGCCCCACGTCAGGCTCTGTGCTGACAGCTCAGAGCCTGGAGGCTGTTTGGATTCTGTGTCTCCCTCTCTCTCTGTCCCTTCCCCACTCACACTCTTTCTCTCTCTCAAAAATGAATAAACATTAAAAAATTTTTAAAAAGAAACCAAATAAAGAAACATTAATCTTCATTTCATTTTGATTATACTTCATGTGTGGTAGAGGTCTCTCACAAATGTTGTCTTGTATCACCTTTTTTTGTGCTTGCTCATATGTTGCCAAAAACTGTTCTCTAATTGTTTTATGCACGCATGTCACGTCCTCCTTCATGGCCTGTGAGATGCTTGTGCCCATGAGCTGTCGTTATTCACACACAATCTGGGCATCTTAAACAATATGCACATTCAATAAACTTCATTTCAATGGAATTGAATTGTATTATGGTTCATTATTTTAACCTGACAAAGAAGGCTGCATGATGTATCTACAGGAACCCCGGACTAGAAGTCAAATGACCCGGGTTCTAGTTTCCTAGAACTGCCTGTTTTTATCTATGGCTGTTTCTGTGTGGCAACTCTGTGCCTAAGTTTCTCTACTTTTAAAGGTGATTTAAAGAAGTCCTCAAGTTTCAAGACAGTTACTGAATTATGTATACTTTAATAAAAAAGAAAGATGGCTACTGAATTTAAAAAAATCAGTCTACCCCATTAAACTTGCTTGTGTGTGTGTGTGTGTGTGTGTGTGTGTAGGACACACATAGTTCAAAACACAAAAAGTCTGAGAAATGATACAACAGAATATCTCCCTGTCATCCTATCCTATGTTCTTCCCACTTCATCCACCATTGACAGTATAGCCGAACAAATAACAATATAGAATCAAATTCCGCTCCAACGAATGTTCGCATATTATGTACACTATTTTTAACTTTGATCTAATATGCCTTGGATGCACTTCTATAGTAGTTTGTAAAGTCTCTCAGTTGTTAGGCTTGCCCAGTGTTTTATTTCTGCAGATGTCTCACTGTCTGTTTGGTCACCTTGTGGGTTATTTAAGACAACTTGTTATTACTGAAATGATGTGACAGATAGTTTTGTACAGTCATTGGTTCAACTGTGGGCAGTATAAGTGAAGGAAGAATTCTCAAGGGTAGACACAATTGTTACTTTGGCGGATATTGCCAATTTGCCCCCCATATTACTATACCACTGCCACCTTCAAAGAATGGGGTCACTTTTGTCCCATGACCTTACCCAAAACCTTTTGAGTATGTGCCAATCTGATAGGTAAATAGTTGTATCTCCGTGTAGTTTTCGTTTGCCATTTCGCTTCCTATGCAAGAGTCACTATGGATTTGTGTAAGACTCATTTGTATTTCCTTTCTCAAAGTACTCATTCTTAGCCTTTGCCATTTTTTCTTTTGGGTTGTTGGCCTTTCTTTTTCTTGTTTATGTCTAGGAGCTATTTCTAGTTTAAGGAGGCTAGCCTGTTGTCTATAATATGAAATGAAAATATTATTCCCAGATTGTAATCTGCCTTTTGACTTTGCTTATAGTAGTGTCACATGTGGAAGATTTTTTTTTTGTTATTCTTGAAGGATAATTGAACACACTGCTATGTTAGTTTCAGGTGTACATTTTTATTATTATGGATTTTTTAAATCTAGATCTGTGATCAGAAGTAGAAAGACCCTCCTCTCCTCAAGTTATGAAAGAAGTCTCAGATTTTTCACATTTGCAACTTTTAATTAATAATATAAAATTAGGAATACCTGAGTGGCTCAGTCGGTTGAGCATCTGACTCTTGATCTCAGTTCAGTTCGTGATCTCACGGTTTGTGGGATCAAGCCCCGTGTTGGGCTCTGCGCTGACAGCATGGAGCCAGCTTGAGGCTCTCTCTCTCTCTCTCTCTCTCTCTCTCTCTCTCAAAAATAAAAATAAATTTAAAAAATAATATAAAATTAGCAAAGCTAGTTAATTTAGCTTTGAGCCTGTGTGTGTGCAATTTTGGAGATGGAGAGAAATGCTGCAAGCAACCAAAAAGTCTCTTGTTGGCCCTTTCTGAACAGGTCTCTACTTGCATTGACCAGAAAGTATCTCAAAATGAGCATTCACTAATATCTCTCTTTCTGATCTTCAGCTAAGATTTTTTCCCCCTCGTTGTTGTGTTTGACACAATCCACATTTTTTTTTTCAGTTCACGCTTCCTACCTCCCGATGTAGCGGTGCATGGAAACATTTACAGATGTGCTCTACATCAGCTATATTTAAAAGTGTGGTCCATGACAGAGATCAGTTGTGGAAAAGGGCAGAATGGAGATAAAGTGCAAAAATTTAAACTTTCCTGGCCAATTGATATTGCTGCAATATCCAAGAATGTTTTCAGTACTGGTTTATGAAGGACTGGAAATGAAACAAATCAACCCAAGCCAGTCAAATTAAATGAAAACATGGTCACTCGCTGAACACAGTTTGAGAAGCTCTGGCCTGATTCTTTAAAGTTCCAAATGCCCATTCACATGAGGACTTCGTTTATACAGAACCCAAAATAATTATTATTAGCTTTCCGATACCTTACCTTAAGCACTTTACTTTGTTATCAAAGCCAGCAAGCCGTTCATTACCTGGGTTTAAAGTAAATTAGAATATAAATTACAAGATTTGCTAAACCAAGAAGAGAATTGCTTGAAATAAGGCATTTGAAAATTAATTAATAGTTGAAAAACTAATTTTCCATGGGTAAGAGTAAAGCTATATTACTTGCATATTACAGTATAAATTTGGCTGAATTGTCTTTCCAGTTTATTGCAATTAGTTACATCATGATTACAAAAAAAGAGTACCTTTTTAAAAAGTGTACTTATTTATTTCTTACTCCTTGGCGCCCATTCTAATCGTTGACATAATGACTATTAATGGAAACACTAGCTCTTACACTAATAAATAGCTCTATTTCACAGCAATCTAACAGAATTACTTGGGGGACCCACTTACTGATTAAACTAGGAACTGGCTCTTTTTTTTATAGCAGCTTTTCCTACCTCCGATATGCATATTAATTCTACAGTTTTTACCAAAATGTCCTTTCTTTTCTTTTTTTTTTTAAGTTGACATTTATTTTGAGAGAGAGAGAGAGAAAGTGGGGGAGGGACACAGAGAGAGGGAGAGAGAGATAATCCAAAGTGCTATCAGCACAGAGCCCAATGCAAGGCTCAGACTCGTGAACCGGGAGATCATGATCTGAGCCAAAGTCAGACGCCTAACCCACTGAGCCACCCAGGCGCCCCTGTCCTTTCTTTTGTATGCATGCGATTCTGCTAACCAGTTGCTTTAAATCAACAGTAGGCTCTGAGTTGAACTGCTGAACCTGAATGCTGTAGGTGGAATTGAAGAAGCTTTGCCAGAAACAGAAATTGTTGTTTTGTGAGCCATTGAAGGCACCAGGCTGAATTGTTGAACATGCATGATGTGGCACCACAAAGAACATGGAACTGGAATGGTTTCATCCTATTAGATTTTCATAAAGGACCCAGTGATATTTAGCTTTCAACTCAGTAGCAAGTTCATGATTCCAATAACACAGGCAAGCATACATCTAACTCCTGTACCATCTAACAAACTGTCACGGCTTAGGGGTAGACCACGCCCCACCCACTGCCCCTTCTTCCTCTACCAATCCCAGTTAGCATCAATTGTATCCTTTAGGACTTGGCTCAAAATTTCTTTTTCTCGGAAAGCGTGTCCCCCGGAGATCACGCTGTAGTGTCTGACTGTTTTGATTCTGTTTGTTTTGCTGGTTTTGTCACACCGTCTGGCATCTGCTAATGTGTTCTTTGTAAACTTTTTCAAGTTGTTGGGTCTGTCTGCTTTGTCTTCTCAAACAGATTGGACGAAGGTAGAGGAGACAGAGATGTATGTAATTTTGTAGTTACCCAATTAGTACAATGGTCTTTGTTGCTTAGGTAACACTTTCATCTTGGCTTTGTCGCCTTAACCTCCTGAAAGCGCTTCATTATCAGGAATTAAATAGGAGCAGATGTTATTATCAGTGAAAACCTTTCAACAGACTGGAAGTTTTCATATTGGCATCTAGCACCTGTGCTCTTGGTTTGGGGAGTAGATTCCCGGGATCCATCACTTACATATAACACCTAGTGCTCATCCCAGCAGGTGCCCTCCTCAATGCCCATCACCCTTTTCCCCCTCTTCCCCGTCCCCGGCCCATCAACCTTCAGTTTATTCTCTATTTAAGAGTTTCTTATGGTTTGCCTCCCTCCCTCTCTGTTTTAAACTATTTTTTCCCCTTCCCTTCCCACATGGTCTTCTGTTAAATCACCTCTGTTGTCTCTTCTCACTTGCCAATGTAAACTCTCAGCTTTGTTTCTGTCTTGGCTTTCCAGTGAGTCATTCTGAGAGTAGACATATGAGGATTCTGGTAGAATTAGGTGATACAAGAAATCCGAGATGAGATTTGCTTTCCAATTCTAGACTGAGGATATATTTGGTCTCCTGGGCTTTACCTGCCTTTAAATTCCTTGAGCTCCTGGATCTAGCATTTATCCCCATCCTTCTATAGTATCCAAAAAGGGGAGTCTTAATGTACATGCAAAAAAACAATTTGCTGGTTGGTTGCTTGATTAGCATATGAGATTTGGTGATGCTATTTTTTGTTTGTCTTTAATAATGAATTTATTTCTTGTGTTTGACAACTTAAAAAGTCATAGATAAAGAATAATGTCTAAAAAGAATCCGAGAACCAAAAGATATTTGATGGACCTTACGGGTTACCTAGTTTAAACATTCTTGCTCTAATTTTTAATTTGTTTTCTAGCAAAAATATTTTCTTTATTCTTTTTTAAATGGCTTCATTGAGCTCCAATTGATATACAAGGAACAGTACATATTTAATGTGTACAATTTGATTATAGATGCTGTACAGATAGATGCTCTATTTCATTTTTCCTTTTCATTGGTTCCACTCCCATTTTTCATGCCTTTTGCTCAAATTCGTACTTAAACTTTTATTTGCACTGTAATTAAAAGAGTAAACCTTATTTCCTAGATGGGAAAACATACGATGCTTTTGTGTCTTACCTAAAAGAATGTGGACCCGAAAATGGAGAGGAGCACACCTTTGCTGTGGAGATTTTGCCCAGGGTGTTGGAGAAACACTTTGGGTATAAGTTATGCATATATGAAAGGGATGTAGTGCCTGGAGGAGGTAAGAAAGGGAATACAAGATAGGGACCTGGTGGAGAGATTTTCCTTGTAAAAGATGAATAATTCAGCCTTACAAAAGACAACCCCGTTTTACCTTAAAAACAAATGAACGCGATTCTCTAAACCAAAAGTGACCAGCTAAATCAGTAGAATCAGTAGTGACAAAAAAGCTAACTACGTTACTTCTGAGAGTCACCTCTTTGGGCCCCAGGCTCTTCAATGTGCTTCCTACTTCTCTGAACTTTTGGGGAAAGGGCATTCCACTTTCAGAACCAGGCCCAGAATCGGCATTGTCGTGAGGCATTTATCTAGAGATGCCCCACAGTAGGAATATCTCTTTTGGTAATGTTTTATACAGCAGAACAGGATTCTCTGCACTATAAACACAGTTCATTCTTACCCGAAAATACTTATTCTTTGTTGGGTTGGCATTGGTGTGAAAATTACGGTCAGAAAAGGGTGAATAAAAGGAGATTGATGATTCATGTCGGATTTTAGTCATGAAATTCAGTTTTTTACTAGTATATGAATATAAACAACCCTAAAACATACATTGAAGCAAATTCCAGTTTGAAGCCAAGAAATTTAGTTACATTTCCGTATATTTTCTCTGAAGTCTTCCAGAGCAAATATCTGAAATCTGCGTCAGAATGTTTTGGGGGCTGGTGCATTACCAAGGATACAATATAAATATTTTCATTGTCACTATCATCCATTCATGCAACATATACTGAGTTCCAGCCTTGTGCCAAAATCTGAGCTTGGCATTGAAAACATAGCAGTAAATAAGGAATAGTTGTGGTCCCCTCCCACCCACCCAGATTACAAATGAGAAAGGGAAAATACTACCAATTAGAAGGAGAAAGCACACTAATTTTTAGTAAATTAATTAATTAAATAGATTTCTTCTCGGTTCTTATATAAAAATAAAGAATGTTGCGTATTTAATTGTAATTAGTTTGGATTAAAATGTCTATTTGAGAAAGGGTAGAGGTCTAAACCAGAAATTGGCAACCCATCACCCACGGGTCAGATCCAGTCTGTCACCTCTGTTGAAACACAGCAAGGTGACATTTGTTCATGTGTTGTCTTTGGCTGCCTTTGAGCTACATGGCAGAGATGAGCAGTGTGACAAAGATGGTGTGAAAAGCCTGGAATATTCACTATCTGGCCCTTTACAGAATGTTTGTCAACTTCTGGTCTGGACTAACTGTGGGATGGATATCTATCTATATATCTATATCTATATCTATATCTATATCTATATCTATATCTATATCTAATCTATATCTATATCTATATATCTATATCTCCATATAGATCTATCTCCATATAGATCTATCTCCATATAGATATAGATATATAGATATATAATCTTTAAATTTGGATTCTAGTGTGCTCCTCCCTGCCTGTGGAGAGGCAAGCAATAGCATGATGGTTAGGAACAGGTGCTCCAGAACTAGACCACCTAGGTTCTGATTCTGCCATTTACGAGCTGTGTGACTCCAGGCAAGTTACTTAACCACTCTGTACTTTGGCTTCCTCATCTGTAAAATGGTGGTGATGACAATACTTTCTTCATAGGATCATTATGATGCTTTAGTAAGTTGATATACATAAAACATTTAGAAGAGGGAGTGGCATAGAATTAGTGCCAACTTCATTATTGTTTTCTAGATGATTGTTTTCCATAGGTGTATAGAATTAAGAATAAATGGTTTATCTTGAAAAACTTACTAGTGAAGTAAGTTAAATAACACAGAATTAGACTGTGCAAAATGATTTTCATCTCCTGTCTCTTTTAGTTCTCTTTAATTACTTTGCCACATCTTGCCTTTTCAGCTATTGTTGATGAAATCCACTCATTGATAGAGAAAAGCCGAAGACTGATCATTGTCCTAAGTAAAAGCTACATGTCTAATGAAGTCAGGTATGAACTTGAAAGTGGACTCCATGAAGCTCTGGTAGAAAGGAAAATTAAAATCATCTTAATTGAATTTACACCTGTCAGTGACTTCACATTCTTCCCCCAATCACTAAAGCTTTTGAAATCTCACAGAGTTCTGAAGTGGAACGCTGATAAACCTCTGTCGTATAACTCAAGGTTCTGGAAGAATCTTCTGTACCTGATGCCTGCAAAAGTGGCCAAGCCTTGTGGAACTGAATCTGAAGTCTTCCCTGTTCTTTCACAGTCCTGATCTTTAGACAAGCCAAATGTAAGAAAGAGCTCTTGACGCTCTGGGCTCGGAGCGGAGGAGCCTATTTTTAACAAAGGGCACTATTAAAAATATTTGGCTCTCTGAAAATCTTACTTACAGTCTGAAGATGAAAGTCATCACTAAGTTGCCAGAGATAGGACTAAACATCGAGCTGTGGTCATGTGCTCCCAGTGGAACCCAGAATTCAAAAGCAACAGACCTCTTCTGTTTCTTCCTCCTCCGTAACTGTCTACAGGTGCTCATTCTCCATCCATATTCAGCAACGGTGAGGCTGGGCACAAAGCAAAGGAACTTACGCCCTACAAAAAGGGTACATCTTCACGTTTTTAATGCTCATGATTGAACTAAAGGATTTTAAGTTCATGAAGTGGCATTTTCTTTTTTTTTTCAATATATGAAGTTTATTGTCAAATTGGTTTCCATACAACGCCCAGTGCTCATCCCAAAAGGTGCCCTCAATACCCATCACCCACCCTCCCCTCCTTCCCACCCCCCATCAGCCCTCAGTTTGTTCTCAGTTTTTAAGAATCTCTTATGCTTTGGCTCTCTCCCACTCTAACCTCTTTTTTTTTCCCCCTTCCCCTCCCCCATGGGTTTCTGTTAAGTTTCTCAGGATCCACATAAGAGTGAAACTATATGGTATCTGTCTTTCTCTGTATAGCTTATTTCACTTAGCATCACACTCTCCAGTTCCATCCATGTTGCTACAAAGGGCCATATTTCATTCTTTCTCATTGATGAAGTGGCGTTTTCTATGATCCTGTAGGTGATGTAGTAACTGCAATGGTGCCTTCACTTCCCCACAGTGCCTCCTACCTCTAAGCACTGTGGAGAGTGCCTGGGATGGGGCAGAGAGTGGGTGGGGCTGTGTGCAGAGTAGGGGACCGAGGTGTGCCAAGTCCTTGGCCTCAGGACATGTTCGGCGTGTGCTGACCACAGCTGCAGACCCGCAGTTACTGGAACCCCTTAAAGCACTGCACAGGGCTTGCTTAATTGGGCCTGTTTGGAGGGAACTTCCCCAAATGCTGAGACACACATTTTCATTCAAATCATTCTCAGGGTCTTTCAAAACTGGTCTAAAACATTTGTTGATTTAACGAACAGGAATGTTTATAGACAGGATGGTGCCAGACCAGATTTTCCATATTCACTGTTAGCCACTGGTATTCATTAGCCACAGGAAAAAAATAAAAAAATTAAAAGTTACTTGCTTGATTTTTTTTTAATTATATATTTTAAATGCCGTTAATGTGGAGGCAGCAGGGCATGGTTGTCGAGCATGAGCCGTGCAGTCAAGATGCTGGGGTTCGAATCCTGTGCTAGCTACTTACTTCTGTCTGGCCCCTGGAATCTTTCCTACCAGGTCTGTGCCTCAGTGTCCTCATCTGTAAAACTGGAATTTAGAGTAGTTGTACCTACTTCATAGGGGAACCAAATGAATAAATAAAGTACCTACCACAGTTCTTGGCACAGACTTAATAGTTCATGTGTTGTTATTACTATTATTAATTGTCACTATTAATTGTCATCATTAATTGTTAGCTCATTTATTTAGCAGTGAACTAAAATACTAGCCAGAGAGCAGGAAAAGGAAAGAGATCTGGAAGGAAGGCGGTTTTGACTTGAGGACATTTGTACACGGAGAGAAGCATATGGGAGAAGCACATCAATAGGGAAAAAGAGATTTCTTCCTTGGAGGCGTGAAACTTGACATTGGGAGAAATGTGTCTGTCTCCCTAAAGCAAGCACAGCCCTGTGGGCCTTCTTGGTGGCCTCAGCAATAATGGCTGTCCATGGAAATCACTGAGTGAGTGACAAATATCTGCCTTACACAGAAAGGAAAGATTTGGGTAGATCTGGAAGCCTGGTTAGGCTATATGGATGCAGCCTGAATGTTCCAGACAGATTTAAACCAGACACTGTTTAAAACGGCTGTGGTAGATATTGCTGAAAATTAAAAAAAAAAAAAAAAAAAAAAAGATTTTATTAGATTTTCAGTGGTAGAAAGTGATATGCTTTTTGGAGAGCTTAAAACTTTGTGTGCTAGTTGGATGGCTAAAAAAGTAAAATAATTTAATTATGTGTGAAAACATACAGTCAAGAGAAATGTTATTGCTATCATCAGAGTCTACTATGTAGACTGATTTTGTTTTTCTCTTCTATTATGTGTGCTGTAAAATATATTAAGTGTGTTATTATTAAGTTTTGCATTAAGTGTGTTAAATGAGTACATTAAACATATGCTTTAAAAGACATTAATAAACCTTTGGTCCAGTGCCCTTAATTTTGAAATGTCTCTGGATGCCTTTTTCACTTATGTGAACATTCCCCTTCCTCATTCTCAATATAGATGTCTACCTGTTTTAATAAGATATGGGTCATTCGAAATGAACTTCTACACCTATCTTCTTCTGCCTTTTTTTTTTTTTTTTTTATGTCAACTCACTTTGTATGTATCTTCTTCATTCTACCTTCCATCCAGGAGCAAAAAGAGAATTCTCTTCTACAAAGCCACAAAGCCACTCAATACGCAGCACAAGAATTAGCTCTTCACACGCCAGTTGATTCGCGTGCATATTTTTAAGTCTAAGTGCAAACAGTTCCAGCTGGGACCAACAAATAGCTATTATTGGTAGAATAATGGCATTCTTTTCTGTGGATTCAGGTGTCCTTCAACGGTGGGGTCAATTTCAGAGAATCAGTGAATAGCCAGCCATCCAAGATGGATAAAATACTCCATGTATGTCTACTATGTGCTGCAACATTTATTAACATAGAGTTATATTCTTTTAAAGCAGAGAGCTTATTACCCACATAGTCCAAAGCCAGGAACGGGGTAAGTCCGGGGATTGACCCAGGTCACACGACTAGCTAGTGAGACAGGCAGGGGCAGACAGGTGTATCATCTCTTCTCTTTGGAATTGCCTGTTGGGCAGTGAGTCTTGAGATGAGTTTTTGGAAGTGCTGGCACTTTCCCAGGAAGGCAACTTATACTAGGAGAGTCTAGGACACGGCCTGCAGAAGAGAGGAAGCGTGGCTGCTTAGGACTACCTCCAAGGAGGACAAAAGAATATGAAGGCTCTTCAGTCTTTCTTCTAGGACACTAGGGTAAGGATCGAGGGGACAAATGGCACTCCAGCCCTCACAGGATGAAAGTGTATATTTGACTGGAGCATGTCTGCTGTGGCATCTGCCAAGGTATAGGGAGTTGGGCCTCTGGCGGGTACTAGGAGCTCATGTATGCTGATGCTGATGGTTGGCCAGGACTGTCAGCCAGGCACACAGTGGGTGAACTTCCCTCCAGCTGTCAACATACTTGCCTAAAGCAGGACACTGGCGAACCCAGTGCTCAAGGCAGATCTGAGGGAGGACACCCAACCTCTGAGGAGGCCAACTTCCTGAGTAGAAGCGACTCTAAGAGATGGACTCAGGAGCACTGGAGGGCTCTTCAAAGGGTGACCAAGCCACAAATCTAACAGGAAACGGTATATGTGTGCCATGGGTGGGACACTGGGTCCATCCCGTGTGCTACGCTGATAATGATCACAGTCCAGGCTGGGGGCTCTGAAACTAACGTCTCCATTCCTGTGTGAGGTTTGTGATGTCAATCTGTTGTCTCTTTACAGCCTATGTTGTGGTGGCTCATACATAACCAGGCAATGTAATTTATGTTATACCCATTCATATATCAAGATCTATAATGTGATGCGTGTGCTTAATAATTAATGGCGAACATGTTAAGAATAGACTTCCAGATTGTGTTTGGGGAGTCCTAGGGCTCCTCATGGTGCCTTAGGGACCATCCTGGGCAGCAGGGTGGAGTGAGGGGGAAACAGGTGAGCTTCCCCCAGCTCTCTTCCCACTGCCATGCCTTCAAGATAGTTCAATTAGTGCAACATTGCTTTTACCCATTTTTATGTTGAGGTTGCACGTAACGATTTTATTTAACAAAATAAAGTATCTCTGAATGGGTCATGCTTTAGATGTAATGGACATAATCTTCTTTAGCTAGTTTAGACAGAGATGGCTGGGGGAGCCTGGGTGGCTCTGTCGGTTAAGCCTCCCACTTCGATTCAGGTCATGATCTCACAGTTCATGCGTTCAAGTCCTGCCTCAGGCTATGTGTGGACAGCTCAGAGCCTGGAGCCTGCTATAGATTCTGTGTCTCCTTCTCTCTGTCCCTCCCTTCCCTGAGCTCTGTCTCTCCCACTCTCTCAAAGATAAATAAACATTCAAAAATTTTTTTAAAAAATCTTAAACAGAGACAATTCTAGAATTGCTTAGAGAGGAAAAGAAACCGACCTTAGGCTCATCTTCCAAGAACATCTTCCAAAGTCACAAGGCACCGGGCGGTAGCTGCTGATCCTGCCATAGACAGGAAGAAATCTGCCAAATCTGGAAGCTCCTGCTTACAGCTGCCAGTTCCTGACCTAGTCTATAGTCTAAGTTGAGGGAAAGCCCCATACTGTGGAATTGCCAAGGGCTGGAAAAGCCACTTGCTTCTGGGCACCTGAGTCCTCCAGAACCGACGTCATTATTAATTTGCTTTACCCCACAATAAACATAATAGCCTCAGAACAATTCATAATACTAACACAGCCATATACATTTTGTTTAGTAAAGACAGTTCGAGATTTTTTTGGGGGTACTATTTTATACCTTTAGAATATGCCATCAGAATATAATAAAGTCAGGCTCTTATGATATAGAACCATTTGGAATTATTCCTCTTGACACCGTTTTTGCCAACCCAATAAACAGTTCGATTCCTTTGATTTTGATTTTTAGGGTTTGCTTCTCAAAATCTTGTTTTGTTTGATAATAATGCAAAAATAGCTACAGCCTTCTAGAGCCAATCTACAAAACAAGGTATATGCAAAAAATGCCAGTTTCTATTCCCTTCCCTATTTGTCTGCTCCTTCCCCTATAGGCAAAGCTTTCTAAAAATGTCAACGTAGCCTTCCATTTTTAATGTAAATAAAAATGCATACATATTTAAATCCCCTCCCTTCGTACAGACAAATGGTAGGATTATTAGAAGCAATTTTTCCACCCTATTTTCCCATTTCAGAATATATTCCAGAATCACTGCCTAATTGCCTATGGTGCTATTTCTCATTCTTATAGCTACATGATACACCATTGTGTGGCTGTACTACAGTTTATTTGGCCAGTATCAAATGTTTCCAGTTTTTTGCAATTTTAGATACCGTTGTAAACAGTAGTCTTATGCATACATCTTTTCACATTTTCCCTAGAATATTTGGGGGATATAGTCCTAAATGTAGGATCTCTGTGTCAGAGGGCAATGCATGCGTACTTTGGCCTAATATGGCCAACTTCCTCTTCACAGGGATTGTCATTTGG